TGCTTTATTGTGACTTTCTTTCTCACAATGAAGTATCACTTCTTCATTTCTGATAATATTAGCTACATCTTCCCTGCTTATTCCTTTGCAGACATACTGGACTCTTTGCTGTTCTTGAACCAAACCGCCATGCCTCTCTTCAGGACTGCTCACTTCTTTTTTTAAATTATTTTTAAAATATTTTATTTGTACCTCATCAACATTTTTTATTTTGTGGAGAGAATCTAAGGTTAATTGGCAGTATAGTTGTAATAGTAGATCGAATAATATCTGTTTTACAAACATTAACATCCTACATTACATGTATGAACCCCAAAAATCTGAGACATGTCTCAGATTTTTTAAAATTGCATTTTAGGTTTTGGGGTACATGTGAAGAACATGCAAGATTGTTGCATAGGTACACACATGGCAGTGTGATTTGCTACCTTCTTCCCCGTCACCTATATCTGCTCACTTATCTTCCTTTTATCTTGAATGCTCCTGAGTCAATATCTGCCTGGCTTTATTCCTTATCTTCTTTAAGGTTTTTACTCAGTTATCACCTCAAATGACAGCTTAATATTCTATATAATTTACTTATGTATTAGGTTTCTGTCCATCCCTATTAAAATGTAAACTCTCAAAAGGCAGGGATTTTGTTTTGGTTTTGCATATATAGGATATATGTTTTTATATATAAAATACACAGTATAGAATTTTTTTTTCTTTTTTGAGACAGAGTTTCACTCTTGTTACCCAGGCTGGAGTGCAATGGTGCGATCTCGGCTCACCGCAACCTCCACCTCCTGGGTTCAGGCAATTCTCCTGCCTCAGCCTCCTGAGTAGCTGGAATTACAGGCACCCGCCACCGTGCCCAGCTAATTTTTTGTATTTTTAGTAGAGATGGGGTTTCACCATGTTGACCAGGATGGTCTCGATCTCTTGACCTCGTGATCCACCTGCCTTGGTCTCCCAAAGTGCTGGGATTACAGGCGTGAGCCACCGCGCCTGGCCTAGAAAAATTATATGTGTCTTTAATATATCTCCAGTGCCTAAAACAGTGTCTAATACATAGGAACTCAAATAATTGTGGAATGAATAAACTATCTTGAGGAGGTTTTAGTTTTAAGGTACTCACATTTAGGGTAAGAATAATCTCATTTACCATAGCAAAGAAATGCAGGTGATCCTTTAACTTGTAAAGTTAATTAATTTAAGCTATTTTTCTCCCCCCAGATTCATCGAAGCAAGAACAAATGGAAATTCTATTTGAAAGATGGTGTTATGTGCTTTGGAGGGAGAGACTATGTATTTTCAAAAGCCATTGGTGATGCAGAGTGGTAAACCTTGTGAGCTCAGTACATCTATTTTGTGAACATCAGTTGGACTATTTGCATATTGTGAAATTCATTTTTATTTAAATATAGTCCAGCACAGAGCTGCTCAAATTTTTAGTTCACTGTATGGAATTTAATAAAATTATAATTCAGATGCAGATGCAAATACACAATTTTATACGTATTTTGCTTTATGTCTTAACAGAGTTTTTAAAAACTCTCATTCTATACCATTACAAAGCATAGATGCATTAGGATAATGGAACATGAAGAAGTATCACATTTCTTTTTTCTTGAAGTAAAATTCCAATCACATTTCAGTTCTCCTTCATGGTAAAGTCAGCATCGGTTATTAGATTGGGACCAGCATTCTTCCCACCTCTCACCATACCATGTTATAGAAGGTTCTTGGAAGTCTTTTAAGTAGTGGGATATTCAAGAAGGCTTCTTTGGGTTTTTATTCTGTACTGATCATTGGAGACATGCTGATTGTTTAAGCCCCGATGGTCCCTTGGAGGCAGATGCCTATAGTATTATTTGAACATAAAAATCTTTGCTGAGGCTAGGATCTCTGTAGCTAAGGATCAGCTTCTCTGGACTTACCATCTGCCTAGGCCATTCTTCTTTAAATATAAAGAATTGGGGAATTGTGAGGAAGTAGGTTAGGTTTCTATTCTACTTCTTGAAATTTCAGACTTCTGTATTTTTCCTAATCATGGTGGTTTTTTTCTCTCCCTACTTTTTCTGTTTTTCGTGCAGTGGAAGACCCCTTTGCAAGCCCTTAGCTCTTCAAAGGCAGTACCTCACTCTCTCTCTCTTTTTTTTTTAGCAGGGATCTCCTACATTGATTTAAGGCTTTCTAAAACAAAAGTCAAGAAGAGATATTCTCTTCGGGAACTTCTGCTTTGGCAATCTTATCTGAGATACAGAGGCCTGGATAATGGTCTTGAAATCACAGAGAGAAAACAAAACATCAAAGAAATAGCCCTCATTTTCCTGTAGCAATAAAAAACAAAGCAAACTAATATTCTAATAAATTATCCTATAATACTGTCTTCCTTAGTAGATTCACATCTCTCAAAGAAATATTTTCCCCATCACTCTGCTGCTCTTAACAGGTGGGGCACATATGCTTTCTACGTCTAGGAGCTCTATTTTTATCCCTGAATGGTGTTTCTAAGGACAGTACCTGTCACACAAAAAGCAGTGCAGGGATGGGTAGGTTATGGCCTATTAAACTCCTTAAGGATTTGATACCTGGATCTGACATCTTTTTGAAAAGTAACCCTATTGGGGAGTTTAATTTTTTCCAACACTTGTTCATTCTAACCAGGAGGCTCAACTATTGGTATATTTTCTTAAAATCTGAATGGATCTCTTCTGGGTCTTGGGCAACGTGGATGGGGTATTGTCTCTGGCCTAAAGTTAACAGCTTCGGGAGGATTCAGTTAGTTCTAGTGAGTGGGCTGGTCTCCTAACCGTATTCTCCCACTAGGCCTGCTTAGAGTGATTGATCTTTCTTTATTACCGCTGCTATTCCAGATCCTTCTCTGGATCTTGAGAACTCCCAGGAGCTATGGGTTGTTTTCAAGGTGTTGCCTTCCACGAAATGTCTGTATTCTCTACATGAAAAGCAAAAAGAGAGCTGTTTGCATTTGTCTCTAAAATACCCACTCCAGGGCTGAGGAGTGTACTTTCTTCTTCCTGTCTTCTTCCAGGCTCATCCAGTCATTCTGTATTTGCCCTAGGCAAATTTTATTGCAAAGTAAGGGCTGAATTTATTGATAAGGTGTACTCATCTGGGAACTGGGAATTAATGTGTTGGTTCAAGTTCCTGGCGGAGGCAATAATATTTGTTTCTAAAATGCCTTTCCTCTTTTTCACTGTGAACTTTAAAATCTCATTTTACTTTAGTGATTTTTTTAAATGGCATATTACAAATGCTGTTATTATATTGGGACTCTTTATTTGCATAGTGAATTTTATCATTAAAGAACACAGTCATGGTTGTTCATTTGTGTCTCTGCTTGCCCTCATGCCCCTTGTCTTTTAAAAATGCAAAATATTAATTTAAATGTATGCTTACCACAAAACAAGAATTTTCCTTGCATGATAACATAAACCAATTAGATAGTTTCAGTGGACTATGGAGCTAATTAAGAGATCACCAAATTATTTTGTATCTGTTACTTTTTTATTAGTCTCAGATAATGCTAGAAAAAATCCTAGTTCTTGAGAAGTTGTCTGAACAGTGACTCACATTTTTTGGCCAGAATCCACACTAAGAAATAGAATTTAACAATGCAGTATATATTTGCATGTCCATTGTCACACATAACACAAATGAAGCAAAAATTTCAGAAAATCATGCTTGCCTTTAGCATATGATAGCCTTCTGACATCATCGATTTGATTCTGTTTGTTTCATTAAAAAAATTGATGGTGTTGACCCACTAAATTGATTTCACTATCTACATTTTTAGCCTGTGTAGTAAAGATAGAGACACTAGTTCATTTTAAAAGAGAAAATTATTTTTCAAGCCCTGTAAGTCAGGAGAGTTTACCTGAGACTTGGCTTTGTTATATTACTTTTACTTCAGGAACCTCTTTGTTATGTCCAAGGAAAACATTTCCTATTGCATTTTTGTAACAAAATACTCTAAAGTAAGTTTCTTAAGTTCTGATTAAGACAGTCGCTTGGCAAATGTTATTTCTGTACTCTTTTATAGGTAGAGAGATGCTAGTATACTTTGAGAATTTCTCAAGTACTTTTGTTAGCATGCTGTAATTCTTTCTTTCCTCCCTCCCTCTTTTTTTCTTTTTTTTTGCGACAAGGCCTGGCTCTTTCACCCAGGCTGGAGTGCAGCGGTGCTATCTCAGCTTACTGCAGCCTCCACTTCCCAGGCTCAAGAAAACCGCATGCCTCAGCCTCCTAAGTAATTGGGACTACAGGCATGTGCTACCATGCCCAGCTAATTGTTGTATTTTTTGTAGAGAAGGGGTTTTGCCATGTTGCCCAGGCTGGTATCAACTTGTGAGCTGAAGTGATTTGCCTCCCAAAGTACTAGGGAGCTCAATACCCAGGCTGGTATCAAACTTGTGAGCTCATGTGATTTGCCTCCTAAAGTACTTGGCCTCCCAAAGTACTAGGATTACAGGTGTGAGCCACTACGCCTGGCCTATGCTGTAGTTCTTCGTTATGTACTTTTCTCTTCTCTCTGTAGACTAAGAAGGTCTGGTGGAGTTTGCAGTTAGTCTCTTAGCGACTGACCAACTGACCTTGTCTGGTACATTTACCTATTTTATTCAATGTGGGGAACACCTCAGTCATGGTTATGATATATGTAAGTAATCGCCTCTGTAGCTCAGACTCCATAGAGCAACAAGACATTCTAATTGACGCACTCAGTTTTAGTCACTTAGGTTGTGCAGGAAAATGAATAACCTAGAGTGAATAGCATCAATTAATTGCGGTGGGTAAGGCGGGAAGGGATTTAGTGGGAGATTTTATTCTGACTCACATTAGTAGGTTAATATTATCCTGGTTTTCATGTAAATACACTCTAAGCCAGGTGGGAATGTTGTGATTTATAACTAGAAAGCTAAATTGTAAGTAGAAAGCCCTAGGTAATAACTCTTAGGGGGAAAAAGATTAAAGCATAGCTCATTTTGAGGAAAAGATTATTTCTAATTATAAACACATTTATTGAAATCTTCGTGACAGAGATACTTAATTTACATATGGACTTACTACAATTTGAGGAAACCAAAATCATGCCCTTTACAGCAAATGTTATAAATGGAGGAAAAAATACCATTGCCTTTTAAAATTGTTTTGTAAATTTAGATGACTTATTCCAGATGAATTAGTCCCTCTTAGCCATTTTGCAACCTGCCAGAGATAATACCAAATGTTTGTTAAAAAACTACAAAATAGAAATATAAATTTATTGAGTATTGCATTTTTATGATTTAGGTATGAGAAATTATACAGAATAAGAATATACATGCTTTCGATTAGACTATCTCCTATAGGAAATACTTCTTAACTAGGACAATTTTATTTCACTCATAAAAATGGATCAGCTTAAAACATTATTAATCATCCATGATGTGTAAGACTCTAGATGTAGTTGGAGACAGAAGAGATGAGTGAATCCCTAAAAAAATTCCTATCATAGGTGAATAAGAGGTGTACTTGTAAAGATAATTAATACTCAGCAGTGTAGGGTAAGCGACAAAAAATGAGTGATGCAGAGGAGAAATGCTAGAGAAGTCCAAAGAGAGAGACCATTGTGAGTTACGTATTAATTATTTATGCCCTACATCGTTTTGGATAGAGGAGGAGTCTTGACTATAGTGGATTAGGGAGAAAGTAAAGAGAGTTTAATTTTTTAAAAATGGAAAAGATAGGGCAGGCATGGTGGCTCATGCCTGTAATCCCAGCACTTTGGGAAGCCAAGGCAGGAGGATTGCTTGAAGACAGAAGTTCAAGACCAGCCTGGGCAACATGGCTAAACCTCATTTCTACATGGAGAAAAAAAAAAAAAAAAAAAAAAGCCAGGCGTGGTGGCACTTGCCTGTAGTTCCAGCTACTTGGGTGGCTGGATGGGAGGATCACTTGAGCCCAGGAGGCAGAGGCTGCAGTGAGCCAGGGTAGATACTAGAGCTCTCTGAATGTTAGGCTAAGCTCTAAAATTTAAATTTATAGGTTGGGTGAATTGCTCAGGATTTTTTTTTTAACAGGTATATAATAAGGTGAAATAGGATTTTATAAAGATTAATCAGTGGTAGTAGGTATGAGAGTATGGACATGGGAAAGATTGGATATGAATAAAAATTAGGGAGACAGTACAGGAATAAGGGGAAAATGACCTGATTTGTGGATGTGGCAGTAGGAATACAATTTTTTTTTTCAGTTTATGTTTATATCGATTTTTTTTTCTTTTTGAGACAGGGTCTCACTTTGTTGCCCAGGCTGGAGTACAGTGGCATCATAGCTCACTGCAGCCTCGAATTCCTGGGCTCAAGCGATTCTCCTGCCTCAGCCTCCTGAGTATCTGGGACTACAGGCATGTTACCACCACACCTGGCGAATTTAAAATTTCTTATTTTTGTAGAGACGGGGTCTTGCCAAGTTGTCCAGGCTAATCTTGAACTTTTGGCTTCAAGTGATCCTCCTGCCTTGTCCTCGCAGTGTGGCTGGGCATGAGCCACCATGCCTGGCCCTGGAATATAAACTGGTGTAAAAGACAGTTCAAAAGAATAACTGATAGAACTTAGTAACTGAAGAATATGGGAATGAGAATGAGGGAGAGAATAAACTGTGACTCCATGTGTTAAAACTTAAAATGTAGACATAAACATCAGTTTTTGTGCAAAGGTAATGCAAGTTATCGCCAGAGTATCTGTACAAGTACCTTGGTTTCAAACTGCATTTGAGTGTGTAATTTAAAGTTTCTCCACAAGAAGAGATTTTATTTTTCCCTTTATGCTTTTTTGCTTAGTAGCTGTTTTGGTTCTGGGATTTATATATGAATCAGAAAGTTTATGTTAGGTATACTGCAACATGACTAATTAGTATTCTGTTATATTGCTGAGACAAATCTTAACACACTAGCTTGCGAGAAAGGCCTGCATCTAAATAAAGACAAGTGACTTGCTATGCAGCAGAAAAGTCAGAGATGTGAAATTGCAGTACAGGGAAGGGATTTTATAAAATTTATAATGTTAGGATCTTTGAATCACCTTGCACAGTGGCATAAGGATTGAAAACAGATTGGATACATAGACTGTCAGGTTATGTCTATACATTTATATAATAAAATCTCAAAGGAGCTAAAAACAGGAAATAGCACAGATATTAATTGATAGAAGAATAGACTGTAAAACGAATCAGCAATGAAAAGAAATGAACTACTAATTCAAGCAATAACATGGATGAATAGCAAACACATTGGGTTGAGTCAAAGAAGCCTTATACAAGAGTATATACTATATGGTCTGTTTATATGAAGTTCTAGAACAGACAAACTAATTGGTGGGAGAAAAAAATAAAAATCCATCCTTACCTCTGGGGCTGGGTGTCAGGAATTAACTGGGAAGGGGAAGGAGGGAACTTTCTGAGGGTGATAATATTCTATTAATGTCTTGAGAAAAGTTTGGGTCACGTGTATGTATTTCTCAAAACTCATTAAATGGTATGCTTAAGATTTGTCCATTTCACTATATGTAAATTTTATCTAGAGATGTAGATAAATATCATGGCCAGTAATAAGAGTGCTAAAATGGTTAGGGCTAAGTACTGACGTGTGCAGATTACTCTGAAATACACACACACACAAAGATGATAAATAATGATAATTATATATATGTAATAAAGCAAATATGGTAAAATATTTTTGAACCTAAATGGTGCTGTATGGCTGTTCATTGTACAATTCTTTTAATTTTTCTGCACATTTAAAAATGTAATAAAATGTTGGGGAAAATTTAAGGAACTTTAAATGCATATTAGACCCTTGGACAACTATTTTACCAATATGGGAATAAGTAAATTACAGTGATTAAGAGGCTAGGGTCCTGAATCAGAGCTTTGAGTTTAAATTCTATTAGTCGTATCTTTTATTTGTTTTGAGAACTTTGGCAAATTATGGGTTTTGCTTTCCTACAAAATGTGAATATCTACATTGTAGAGTTTTATGAAGATTAAATGGGTTAAATTATATAACATTTATCAAGATGTTTGGGGTAGAATTAGCTTTCAGGAAGAGTTACTTTAAAAAAAGTCAGAGGAGCATAGAAAAAACACTAGTTAAAACCATAGTTTTGTTGTCCTTTAAGATCCAATTTCAGTAAGTAAAAATATCTTCTAGCAAATACTGAACGTATTTTTCTATATTCTCCAAAGGGTGGAAATCATGAAGCTTAATTATTTTTAAATATTTAGACAATTTATTTTTTTATTCAAATAAAAATATAAGCTCTAGTTATATGTTTCATAATTTCAGAGTAATTGTAATTCAGCACATTTGTAGTATACCATTGCCAAGATCTTGAGGTAGGAAGCAGGAAAACAAAATGGACTGAGACAGGATTCCTACTCACAAGGAGTTCACAGTCTACAGCTTAATGTTTCAGTAAGCAAATAAGCTGAAATGTGCTTTTAGATGTTTACCTTAAATTATAAATAAGTAGAATCCAGACAGGGGATAGATAAAAGTCTGTATAATAGCACAAATAGAACTTTCTGTGGTGACAAAAATATTCTGTGTCTGTGCTGTCCAGTATGATAACCACTAGTCACATGTAGCTACTAAAAACTTGAAACATGGCTAGTGCAACTGAGAAATTACATTTTTCATTTTATTTAATTTTAATTTAGCCACATGTGGCTAGTGGCTACCATATCAGACAGTGTATCTCTAGAGTGTGTTTTTCAAGCTACCTGAGAAAAAGGCCAGTTATTTTAAATTTCTGATCTCTTATGAACTAATATTTTTATAGAATTTAATACAAATTACAAAAATGAAAAACAGATATGCAAAATGCCACCTCAATTTTTTAAAATATTAGATTCATCAAACAAAATTACTGTGTCAAAATTTCTACAAAAATTTCTAACTTCGGTATTTATGTCATCATGTACCAGTGACAAATAGTTTTTAGAATGGCAGTGGTCATAGACTATACTTTCTGCTAGGTAGAGGTCTCTTGCGTAGTATACCTACAAATAAATAATTTCTAAATCCAACCCTTGATGTTAAAATTACTGATACAGGTAATTTTTTTTACAGGTTTAAGAACAATTCAATAATGCAGTTACTGATGTAACAGTTAATATTCTTTGTAGCAAGTCTTGTCTAGGAGAGCTGTACCTTGACAGTGCAATGCGGGCAACTTCAAGGTGGACTGAGAAGGCTTACTTGATCCAGTGAAGCCATTTTTGTAGTTGGAGGTATACGCTGAAAAATCCTTCCTTCTGTAAAGTTCAGCCCGATGTTTACAGCAGCCAAATTTGCCTAGCAACAGAAAGAAATCTCTTCGGAATGTCTTAGTGAATATTGCATACAAAAATGGATTGGCGCAAGAATTGATGGGATAAAAAAGAACCAGTAAAACTTTAGAATTGGTTACTGTGATAAGAGGCATTTTGAAGGCAGCTGAGATGGCAAAAAAAGAGATAGGTGCCATGCAGGTAAAATCGGTGAAGATGAGGATTGCCATCTTCTTAGCAATCTTTGTATCTTTGTTGGTAGCCATTAATTCTGGGTTTCGAACTGCAAAATAAATTTTAATGTAGCAAGCACAAATTATGATGAAGGCCACCACATTGAGAATCAGGATGGTTAATATATAGATTTGTGACAGAGTAGTTTCCACATCCATGGGGAAGCAAATACTGACCTTCATGTAATTGCTGACACCCACAAGGGGCAACATAGCAATTAGAGAAGAAAAGAGCCATCCTCCAAGCATAATCAGAATGGCATGTCTTAATCGCAGCTTTTGGTCCAGGTGAATAGCATAGGTGATGGTGTGCCATCTTTCTAGAGTGATGACGGTGAGAGTGTAGACAGAAAGTTCACTTGCAAATACAGTGAAAAAGCCAGCAGTGTTGCACCCACTCCCTGTCTGCCAATCTATGGCATGGTTATAGTACTGGCCTTTGGTTTGGGAATCAACCGAGGCTATGAGCAGCAGATAAAGCCCCATGCAAAAGTCTGCAAAGGAGAGATTGCACATGAGAAAACGAGGCACTGTAAGTTTGTAACGACTTGTCAGGAGAACAAAAAGGACAGTCATGTTTCCCATGATGGCTAGAATATTAATCAGCCAAATCAGGACTCTTAGGAAGTCATAGCCCATAATATCTTCACAGGGATTAAAAGCATCTGGTTCAGGAGCACATCGGGGTGTCTTGGGTAAGTGGAAGCCATAATCATAGTCCCAGCCACTCTGTCCACTCTCAGCAAATATGGCAGGATAACTGTAAGAAGAATTATTGGCTTGATGTAAGAGATTTTCTCTGAGTATTAAAACATTTCAAGAATTATTCATGTTTTTTTTAAAGCCAAAGAAACAAGGAAACAGCCACAATAACCTCAGCCTTACGTTTATTTGTTAAATTATTTGAGAACTCTTATTTGATGTAGGAGTTCCCTAAGAAGGGAATGAAGAGCCATTTTATATAAATAAATAAATAAATAAGTATGTGTATATATATTACATTGATGCAAAGACAATGAAGCTGTTTACAAAGGATGATTTTCTTTGGAAAACAAGTTTAGAAAGACAATCTATGCTTGCTAAATCTAAAGTAATCCTTTCTTGGCATTTTCTTAGCTATTTATCTCTCATTTAGTTGTCAGCCAAACTGCTACCAAGCTGTTTGTGTCTTGCAGAACACAAATAGAACTGGAAGGCTCACGTTGAAAATCATTAGCTACTGGTGGACTTGTTTGTACTTAAGTCCCTGGCTAATCAAATAGTCCAATCGAGAAATAGAAACCAAGGATAGATTATTAGAAATTTAGGAGCAGAGCAAGAATATAATTGTGGACAATAGGAAGAGGTGGTGCAACATTACTATTTAGGGGTATGAGTCAAAGGCAGAGGGAGGATTACGAGGTAGTCTGTCCCTAGTGAAAGAACAGTCCTTCCTTTGCCACTCCTTTCCAACCCTACTGCTACTGCCTGAGTTTAGGTTTTGGTCCTCTCATATGGAGCAATTAGTTTTCTTCCTGATATCCTTTCCCCAATTTTAGCCCTCTCCGTAGTCCATTTTGTATGTTCCTTCTAGAATGGCCTTTCCAGAATTCAAAGTTATTAATTTCACTTACCCAAATCAAACTTGCCCCAGGTTCTCATTGGTTGAGATAAAATCCAAACTCATTGTGATGACTTCCAAGGCTCTCCTTGATGTGGATTCTGCCTATCTCTCCAACCTCATCTCTAAGAAGCACTAGTGCTGCAGAATTCAGAGAATGGGCTCAAGCGAGACTGCCAGGATTCAGTCCTAGCACAGCTCTTACAGACTGTATAATCCCAGGACAGTTAATTTATATCCATGTGCCTCAAGTTGTTTATTTGCCAAGTAGGGATAATATTCATACCTTCCATGTTAAAGTTGTGCTAATAATTAAATGCATTCATACATGTAGAATGTTTAGAGTAATTCTTGAAGCAATAAATATTGGGGATTCTTAACATTATCTCTTGCAGATCCCTCATGCAACCTTCCCTTTAGTCACATAAAATGACGTGTAGCTCTCTGACTAAGTTCTACTGTTTCACTCCTTTATCTTTGTATATACTTCTGGCTGGAATTTTCTTTCTTTTCTCATCTTTCTGGTGAATTTCTCCTCATCTGTAAAGATAAATTCTATAAAGCCTTTCTTGGTTATACTCCCCGAGTTTTATTTATCCACCTGCCAGAGCTGCAGTTAGTGCAACTGCAATTATCAAAACATCTTGCAATTAAGTGATGATGCATGTCTGTCTTCTTTAATTGTCTATTCGCTTCTTGAAAACAGAGGACTAGGTTTTACTTATTTCTGGAATCCCAGTTCCTAGCACAGTTTTGGCTCAGTGTTCATTCAATAAATGTTTGTAGAGTGAATAATTCTAAACCAGGATGATTCTTGCTATGAAAGGAATTGAGAAGATACAGGGACAATGAGCACACAGCATCATGCAGGTAGGCTCAAAAAGCATTTCTGTTTTTACCCATCTTCTGCTAATATAATATTAGGAACTGGAGAAATGGGCACAATTTTTCTGTCAAGGACATTAAAAATATATATTTGTAATATATTTTTGCATATTACATGAGGAACCTTATGGTTCTTACACATCAAAAGGATATTTTTCTCTACTCTCAAACCTAACTTCTCATGTTCTGTATTTTAAGTGCATACCTAGTTCAGTGAGTGGAAGAAATAATAAACTGGAAGAATACAATACTGATGAGAATGAACACAGATTTAAAAAAAGAAAAAAATCTGTGACCTGGGACTCCAAAAATGTATTAGAGTATTGTGGAACCCAATTTGGAACCAGAGAAGGGCTGCTGCTATGTACAGAAGATCACACAGGAACCTCCCTTGTTTTATTATTAAATATTGTTATAACCAGCACATTTGTTTGTCCTCTTCTCACAGACATCAATATAATTACCATTTTAATCTTTAAAGGGAGAAGATGGTTATGAAGAACTATTAAAGAAAATAGATCATTAATTTCTTAGCATTAGAAAGGTTTTTAGGCTGGGCACAATGGCTCACACCTGTAACTCCAGCACTTTGGGAGACCAAGGTGGGTGGATCACCTGAGGTCAGGAGTTGAGACCAGATGGCCAACATGGCGAAATCCCATCTCTACTAAAAATACAAAAATTAGCCAGGCGTGGTGGTCTGTAATTCCAGCTACTCGGGGGACTGAGGCAGGAGAATTGCTTGAATCTGGGAGGTGAAGGTTGCAGTGAGCTGATTGTGCCACTGCACTCCAGCCTGGGCGACAGAAAAAGGCTATCTAAAAAGACAAAAAAAAAGGTTTTTCAAGACCATCTCATTGAATTCTTTCATTTTATTGGTAAGGAGACCAAGATTAAAGGAGGTAAGTGACTTGCCTAAGGTCTCCTGGGGATAGTGACAGTGGCAGCGTGAGGTCTTCATAACCACAGTTCAGAGACCTTTCCCCTAACTTCACCCTCTCTTACTGTTTTTCAAAGTGTGGTCCTTGGACCATCTCCATTGCAATCACCAGGGTATTTGTTAAAATGCAGAATCTTGGCTTTACCCCAAACCCTGGATAAAAAAATCTCCAGAGACAGAGCCCAGGAATTTGCATTTTAAGTACGTTCTCTGGATGATTTATACAAAATAATAACCTTTGTTAAATCAGGTGAAAAGGTTCCAACTATTCCTGATTTCCTTTACTCCTTTCTCCTTATCAAAACTACTTCAGCTGTTAGAAACATTATTGTAAAACTTCTAAAATTTCTGCCATGATTTCTGATTAAATTGATGTCAATAAGAGGTCAAATGTTTCCTCACTTCCTCTTGCTATCTGGTCCTTTGTCCTTCCTTTTTTTTTGCCCTAATGGGCATTTGTCTAGCAGTTTTTCTCCTTGGTGATTTGTCTTCAGACTAAATGCCCACCTGCTGTTATCACATTTGTGTCCTGGGATTGCTCCTGAGGGCAGCATCATACTTACTGACAAACCCCAGCATGGAGCTGTTGTTAGTATTGGGGGTTATGCGGGAAGTATGAATGGACTCACACAGGCTTAGTAATATTGAATCAGAGGAAGGAGAGCTGTAGCATCGGTGGTCTGATCACAAGAAAGAAAGGAGAAAAGATGGGAATTTTAGGAGGACAATAGGGCCAGCCATAGAGGTGACAATGCATTATCTTGGGGAGAATAGATAAGGCTTAGTGGCGAGCTCTAGAATTTCTAAACTCTAGGGACTGAGGAATGGCTATCTGGTGGGAAGTAGGAGGTAGATTTATCATAAAATTCTTTCACAAGGAGAACGCTTTTTACTTAGATTTTATGTTAATTTCAGTCAGTTTTGGAGATGCTAGAGATTAGGGACTTGTCTTAAAGTGTTAGCATAACAAACTCAAGCTTATATATTCTCATCTATAACCTGGTGAGGATTATATTGAGGATGTGTTAAAGTTTCCCTCAAATCACTCCTTGGTGCTATCATTAACTATACCCATAAATGTTTTCCTGTTGATAAGAATTAAGCCACATGGTTGCAAAAGAGTTGTGTAGAAGGTTACTGATAGAATACTGAGTAAGAAGAATGGGAAGGGTGAAGAAAGGCTCTTGGAAGATACATGGTGTCAGACCTAATGCGAGAAAAGGAAAAGAATGAGACAATAATACTTATTTACCCTTGGTGTTGTCACATTGCTTACAGGAGAAAGGTCTCAAAAAGGATAAATTTTGCCAGCAATACTCAGTTACTGGAAGGTTCATATCAGTTACTGGATATGAATCCTTGGAATGGAACCCCAAAGTCCAGGGTCATTCCACCACACCACCCTGAAGCATCTGTATTACTTGGAGATGGATAGGAAAAGAAGGAAGAGAAAATTTCAGAAAGAGATTGGCAAAGTGTTTTAAAGGAGCACTCAAGGGGATATAATAAAACTTCTAAATCTTAGTAAATGTGGCATAGGGACACTGGGATTATCTTATTTTTAAAATATATTTTATTGCATTTTAGGTTTTAGGGTACATGTGAAGGACATGCAAGATTGTTGCATAGGTACATACATGGCTGTGTGGTTTGCTGCTTTCCTCCCCATCAACTATATCTGGCATTTCTCCCCATGTTATCCCTCCCCAACTCCCCACCCCCCACTGTCCCTCTCCTAGTTCCCTCCCACAGACCCCAGTGTGTGATGCTTCCCTCCCTGTGTCCATGTGTTCTCATTGCTCAACACCCACCTATGAGCGAGAACATGTGGTGTTTGATTTTCTGTTCTTGCATCAGTTTGCTGAAAATGATGGTTTCCAGGTTCATCCATGTTCCTAAAGGACACAAACTCATCATTTTTGATTGCTGCATAATATTCCATGGTGTATATGTGCCACATTTTCCCTGTCCAGTCTATCATCGATGGGCATTTGGGTTGGTTCCAGGTCTTTGCTATTGTAAACACTGCTGCAATGAACATTCGTGTGCATGTGTCCTTATAATAGAACGATTTATAATCCTTTGGATATATACCCAGTAATGGGATTGCTGGGTCAAATGGAATTTCTATTTCTAGGTCCTTGAGGAATCGCCACATTGTCTTCCACAATGGTTGACCTAATTTACACTTCCACCAGCAGTGTAAAAGTGTTCCTATTTCTCCTCATCATCTCCAGCATCTGTTGTCTCCAGATTTTTTAATGATTGCCATTCTAACTGGCATGAGATAGTATCTCAATGTAGTTTTGATTTGCATTTCTCTAATGACAAGTGATGATGAGCATTTTTTCATATGTTTGTTGGCCTCATATATGTCTTCTTTTGTAAAGTGTCTGTTTATATCCTTTGCCCACTTTTGAATAGGCTTGTTTGTTTTTTTCTTGTAAATCTGTTTTAGTTATTTGTAAATTCTGGATATTAGCCCTTTGTCAGATGGGTAGATGACAAAACTTTCCCCCCATTCTGTTGGTTGCCAATTCACTGTAATGACTGTTTCTTTTGCTATGCAGAAGCTGTGGGGTTTGATTAGGTCCCATTTGTCTATTTTGGCTTTTGTTGCCAATGCTTTTGGTGTTTTAATCATGAAGTCCTTGCCTATGCCTATGTCCTGAATGGTTTTGCCTAGATTTTCTTCTAGGGTTTTTATGGCGTTAGGTCTTACATTTCAGTCTTTAATCCATCTGGAGTTAATTTTAGTGTAAGGTGTCAGGAAGGGGTCCAGTTTCTGCTTTCTGCACATGGCTAGACAGTTTTCCCTACACCATTTATTAAAAAGGGAGTCCTTTCCCCATTGCTTGTTTTTCTGAGAGTTGTCGAGGATCAGATGGTTGTAGATGTGTGGCATTGCCTCTGAGGCTTCTGTTCTGTTCCATTGGTCTATATCTCTGTTTTGGTATCAGTACCATGCTGTTTTGATTACTGTAGCCTTGTAGTGTAGTTTGAAGTCAGGTAGTGTGATGCCTTCAGCTTTGTTCTTTTTGCTTAGAATTGACTTGGCTATGCAGGCTCTTTTTTGGTTTCATATGAAGGTTAAGGTATTTTTTTCCAGTTCTGTGAAGAAGGTCATTTGTAGCTTGATGGGGATAGCCTTGAATCTGTAAATTACTCTGGGCACTATGGCCATTTTCACGATATTGATTCTTCCTAACCATGAGCATGGAATGTTTCTCCATCTGTTTCTGTCCTCTCTTATTTCATTGAGCAGTGGTTTGTTGTTCTCTTTGAAGATGTCCTTTACATTCTTTGTTAGTTGTATTCCTAGATATTTTATTCTCTTTGTAGCAATTGTGAATGATAGTTCCTTCTTGGTTTGCCTCTCTTTAAGTCTGTTATTGGTGTATAGGAATGCTTGTGATTTCTGCACATTGATTTTGTATGCTGAGACTTTGCTGAAGTTGCTTATCAGTTTCAGGAGATTTTGGACTGAGATGATGGGGTCTTCTAAATATACAATCATGTCATCTGCAAATAGAGACAATTTGACTTCCTCCTTTCCTAATTGAATACCCTTTATTTCTTTTTCTTGCCTGGTTTCTCTGGCTAGAACTGCCAGTACTATAATGAAAAGGAGTGGTGAGAGAGGGCTTCCTTGTCTAGTGCCAGATTTCAAAGGTAATGCTTCCAGTTTTTGCCCATTCAGTATGATATTGGCTGTGGGTTTGTCTTAAATAGCCTTTATTATTTAAGATACGTTCTGTCAATAGCTAGTTTATTGTGAGTTTTTAGCATAAAGGGCTGTTGAATTTTGTCAAAGGCCTTCTCTGCATCTATTGAGATAATCATGTGGTTTTTTGTCTTTGGTTATGTTTGTGTGGTGAATTACATTTATAGATTTACATATGTTGAACCAGGCTTGCATCCCTGGGATGAAGCCTACTTGATCATGGTGGATAAGCTTTTTGATGGGCTGTTGCAATTGGTTTGCCAGTATTTTATTGAAGATTTTTGCATCTATGTTCATCATGGATATTGGCCTGAAGTTTTCTTTTCTTGCTAAGTCTCTGCCAGGTTTTGGTATCAGGATGATATTGGTCTCATAAAATGATTTTGGAAGGATTCACTCTTTTTGGAGTGTTTGGAATAGTTTCCGCAGGAGTGGTACTAGCTCCTCTTTGTATGTCTGATAGAATTCAGCTGTGAACCCATCTGGACCTGGGCTTTTTTTGGTTGGTAGGCTATTAATTGCTGCCTCAACTCCCTGTTTCAGTCCCCTTTTGATCAGTTGATTAGGCGACTCTGTCTCCTGGGCGTTCCAGTCACCTATAATAAAGGTGCTCGGATCTGTGTGATTTCCTGTGTGGTGACCCACTGCACCAGCTGGAACAGCTGTGCTGGAGATTCGTGGTGCTTTTTAGCACTGGAATCTCCTGGCCTTGCTTCCTGTTTCAGTCCCCTTTTTATCAGTTGAATGGGTGACTCTGTCTCCCAGGCACTCCAGTCGCCAGCTGAAAGGGCGCCTGGACCTGTGTAAGTATTTTGTGTGGTGACCTGCCGCACCAGCCAAAACAGCTGTGCTGGCAACCCATGGGGCTCCTCTGCCCAGGAATCTCCTGGTCTGTGGGCAATAAAAATCTGTCTGGAAATGCGGAGTCCACTCACCCTCTGTGCTCTCTCTGGGAGCTGCAATCCACAGCTGCTCCTCATTGGCCATCTTGAATCCCTCCCTCAGGATTATCTTTTGGGGCATGCTCTTTTACAGTTGAAGACAAATAAAATGCCAAGGCAGCCAGCATTTATAGCAGAAAAATGTTAAAAATTAGTAAAACAGGAATGTAGCTTCCATCCAATGTATGTTATTGATAGCATTAAGACTAATTTTAAGCTCAGGAGCATAGTGGTCAAGGTGGCCTAAGTCTTCTTTAAGAGAAATGGCCAATTCTAAGCTATGTTTGCAGTTAGTTAATATTTGTGGAATGCTGACCATGTGACTAGTGCAAATTCTTACCAATGAAGCTATCAGTTCTATGAGCCTTTAGTGACATCCAAATACCTGGAAATTTTTAATTTTTGAGGAGGAATTAATATATTTGTAGAGTAAATATTAAGGAACATTTCAATAAACAGTTGAAAGAGATTCCTGATTAACTTGATGCCAATTGCAAAGAAAAAATTCCCATTTTAAAACTATTAAAAGATGCTTTGCAAAAGCTTCGCAACCGCTTCGCAACCAAGATTTGTATCAAAAGAAAATAATTGAGGCTGATAATAAGGTGCACACAGAACAAGATATGACTTCTGAATTTCTTTACATGCAAATACTTACAGTGTTTCATTATTTTGTTTCCTTACTGTGCTTTCACATTGTTTGAGAAAGTTTTTAGAAATGGAAAATGAAAAATTCTGTCTGAAAAAGGAGAGGTTATAAAAAGCATTTGAGCTTTTGGTCTTCAAACTAAACCTGATTGTGCATCTATTTATGCTTTGTTCATGCAAATTCTTTACCTATTACCCCAGCATCTTGTTCTGCACCATTGTCCTAACTGAAATGTTTCCTGAGGAGAGAGTAAAGGCTTCTGAATTGTCATTAGAGTGCTTCCAGCTTAGATAAAATGCTTCTGAATACTAAGCGTTTTGTGTGGGCACTAGAGATGAAAAAAACTTAAATTTGTCATATTGAATCAGGGATTTTTCAATGATTACTAAAAGCTGCTTTTATGGTGTATTAAGGTTTGCTCCTTACCACTCTCCTTTTCCCATTGGCCTTGATTAACAAATAATCATTTTGAGTTCCGGGTTTTGAGTTGTAACTGGGCATCTTTTTTGTAAGGATTGGAAGATACTGGACCTGACATTGTTATTTTTTCTTATGTGCAGAAACACATGTGGGTGCTCCCTACTCCTCCAGCTTTCCAAGAAGTTTAGCCTGTGGAAAGGGGAAAAATACCAATGAAATAAAACGAGGCCCGTTCTTACCTAAGGGAGCACTTACCTAGGGATGAAATTTAATGGAGATACAAATGAAAAATAAATAGGGTACAAGCATTCGCTTTTCTTCCACAGCCTTGACAGTGTCTGTTGGTTTTCTCATTGTGGTTTTGATTTGCATTTCTCTGATGATTAGTGATGATGAGCATTTTTTCTTTAGCAGACATACAAGCAGTTAACCAACATATGAAAAAAAGCTGTTCTGTTCATGCCCATTGCCCACTTTTTTTAAAATGGGGCTATTATTTTTTTTGTTTGTTCATTTGTTTAACTGTGTTGTAGATTTTGGATATTAGACCTTTGTCAAATGCATAGTTTGTGAATACTGTTTCCCATCCTGTAGGTTTTCTGTTTACTCTTTTGATAGTTTCTTTTGCTGTGCAGAAGCTCTGTAGTTTAATTAGGTCCCACTCATCAATTTTTGTTTTTGTTGCAATTGCTTTTGAGGACTTAGCTAAAAATTCTTTGCCAAGGCTGATGTCAAGAAGGGTATTTCCTAGGTTTTCTTCTAAGATTTTTACAATTTGAGAAAATGGAACACTCATACACTGTTGGTGGGAGTGTAAATTAGTTCATTCACTGTGGAAATCAGTTTGGAGATTTCTAAAAGAACTTAAAGCAGAGCTACTATTCAACTCAGAAATCACATGACTCAATATATGCCCAATGAAATAGATCATTATACCAAAAAGACACATGTACTCGTATGGTCATTACTATGCTATTCACAATAACAAAGAAGTGGAATCAACCTGGGTGCCTGGATTGGATAAAGAAAATGTGGTACATATATACCATGTAATATTATGCAGCCATAAAAAATCATATGTTTTGCAGCAACATGGATGGAGCTGGAAGCCATATCTTAAGTGAATTAATCCAGGATTAGAAAACCAAACACTGCATGTTCTCACTTATAAGAGGGAGCCAAACACTGGGGACACATGAACATAAACATGGGAACAACAGGCACTGCAGACTACTAGAAGGGGCAGGGAGGGAGGCAGGCATGGGTTGAAAAACTAAAAAACAGCAAGACATAACTTCAATATCAACAAAAAGGACATCTACTCAGAGACCCCATCTTAAAGTCACCAACTACGAAGACCACAGGTAGATAAATCCACAAAGATGGGAAGAAACCAGTGCAAAAAGGATGGAAATGCCTCTCCTCCTCCAAGGGATCACAACTCCTCACTAGCAAAGGAACAAAGCTGTATGGAGAATGATTCTGATGAACTGACAGAAACAGGCTTCAGAAGGTGGGTGATAACAAAATTCTCTGAGCTAAAAGAACATGTCTTAACCCAATGCAAAGAAACTAAGAACCTTGAAAAAAGGTTTGACAAAATGCTAATGAGAATAAACAGCTTAGAGAGGAATGTAAATGACCCAATGGAGCTGAAAAACACAATACAAGAACTTTGCAAAGCATACACAAGTTTCAATAGCCAAATTGACCAAACAGAAGAAAGGATATCAGAGATTGAAGATCAACTCAATGAAATAAAATGAGAAGACAAGATTAGAGATAAAAGAGTAAAAACAAATGAACAAAGCTTCCAAGAAATATGGGATTATGTGAAAAGACCTAATCTATGTTTGATAGGTGTACCTGAATGTGATGAAGAGATGAATCCAAGCTGGAAAACACTCTTGAGGATATTATCCAGGAGAACATCCCCAATCTAGCAAGGGAGGCCAATATTCAATTTCAGGAAATACAGAGAACACCACAAAGATATTCCTCAAGAAGAGCAACACCAAGGCACATAATCATCAGAGTGGGGGCCAATATTCAATATCCTTAAAGAAAAGAACTTTCAACCTAGAATTTCATATCCGGCCAATCTAAGCTCCATAAGTGAAGGAGAAATAAAATCCTTTATGAACACACAATTGCTGAGAGATTTCATCACCACCAAGCCTGCCTTACAAGAGCTCCTGAAAGAAGCACTAAACAGAAAAGAACAACCAGTACCAGCCACTCCAAAAATGTACCAAATGGTAAAGAGCATACACACAATGAAGAAACTGCATCAACTAATGAGCAAAACAGCCAGCTAGCATCAAAATGGCAGGATCAAATTCACACATAACAATATTAACCTTAAATGTAAATGGGCTAAATGCTCCAGTTAAAAGACACAGACTCGCAAATTGGATAAAAAGTCAAAACCCATCAGCGTGCTGTATCGAGGAAACCCATCTCACATGCAAGGATACACGTAGGCTCAAAACAAAGGGATGGAGGAAGATTTACCAAGAAAATGGAGAGCAAAAAAAGTCAGGAGTTGCAATCCTAGTCTCTGATAAAATAGACTTTAAACCAACAAAGATCAAAAGAGACAAAGAAGGGCATTGCGTAATGGTAAAAGAATCAATGCAACAAGAAGAGCTAATAATCCTAAATATATGTACACCTAATACAGGAGCACCCAGATACATTAAGCAAGTTCTTAATGACCTACAAAGAGACTTAGACTCCCACATAATAATAGTGGGAGACTTTAACACTCCACTGTCAGTATTAGACATATCAATGAGACAGAAAATTAACAAGAATATCCAGGATTTGAACTCAGATCTGGACCAAGCAAACCTAATAGACTTTTACAGAACTCTTCACCCCAAATTCACAGAATATAAATTCTTCTCAGCACCACATCGCACTTATCCTAAAATTGACCACATAATTGGAAGTAAAACACTCCTCAGCAAATGCAAAAGAATGAAAATCATCAAAAATAGTCTCTCAGACTACAGTGCAATCAAATTAGAACTGAGGATTAAGAAACTCAGTCAAAACTATGCATCTATATGGAAACTGAACAACCTGCTCCTGAATGACTATTGGGTAAATAACAAAATTAAGGCAGGAATAAAGATGTTATTTGAAACCAATAATAACAAAGACACAGTGTACCAGAATCTCTGGGACACATTTTAAGCAGTGTCTAGAGGGAAATTTACAGCAATAATCCCCACATGAGAAGCAAGGAAAGATCTAAAATCAACACCCTATCATCAAAATTGAAAGAGCTAGAGGAGCAAGATCAAAAAAACACAAAAACTAGCAGAAGACAAGAAATAATTAAGATCAGAGCAGAACTGAAGGAGATAGAGACACAAAAACACCTTTCAAAAAATCAGTGAATCTAGGAGCTGGTTTTATGAAAAGATCAACAAAATAGACCACTTTCCAGAGTAATAAAAAGGAAAAGGGAAGAATCAAAAAGATACAATAAAAGAAAAATAAAGGGAATATCACCACCGATTCCACAGAAATTCAAACTACCATCAGAGATTACTACAAACAACTCTATGCACATAAACCAGTAAACCTGGAAGAAATGGATAAATTCCTGGACATTTGCACCCTCCCAAGCCTAAACCAGGAAGAAGTCAAAACCCTGAATAGACCAATAACAAGGGCTCAAGTTGAGGCAGCAATTAATAGCCTATCAACCAAAAAAAGCCCAGGTCCAGATGGGTTGACAGCTGAATTCTACCAGACATACAAAGAAGAGCTGGTACCACTCCTTCTGAAACTATTTCAAACAATCCAAAAAGAGTGAATCCTTCCAAAATCATTTTATGAGACCAATATCATCCTGATACCAAAACCCGGCAGAGACTCAACAAGAAAAGAAAACTTCAGGCCAATATCCATGATGAACATAGATGCAAAAATCTTCAATAAAATACTGGCAAACCAATTGCAACAGCCCATCAAAAAGCTTATCCACCATGATCAAGTAGGCTTCATCCCAGGGATGCAAGCCTGGTTCAACATATGTAACTCTATAAACGTAATTCACCACACAAACAGAACCAAAGACAAAAAACCACATGATTATCTCAATAGATGCAGAGAAGGCCTTTGACAAAATTCAACAGCCCTTTATGCTAAAAACTCACAATAAACTAGCTATTGACAGAACGTATCTTAAATAATAAAGGCTATTTAAGACAAACCCACAGCCAATATCATACTGAATGGGCAAAAACTGGAAGCATTACCTTTGAAATCTGGCACTAGACAAGGAAGCCCTCTCTCACCACTCCTTTTCATTATAGTACTGGCAGTTCTAGCCAGAGAAACCAGGCAAGAAAAAGAAATAAAGGGTATTCAATTAGGAAAGGAGGAAGTCAAATTGTCTCTATTTGCAGATGACATGATTGTATATTTAGAAGACCCCATCATCTCAGTCCAAAATCTCCTGAAACTGATAAGCAACTTCAGCAAAGTCTCAGCATACAAAATCAATGTGCAGAAATCACAAGCATTCCTATACACCAATAACAGACTTAAAGAGAGGCAAACCAAGAAGGAACTATCATTCACAATTGCTACAAAGAGAATAAAATATCTAGGAATACAACTAACAAAGAATGTAAAGGACATCTTCAAAGAGAACTACAAACCACTGCTCAATGAAATAAGAGAGGACAGAAACAGATGGAGAAACATTCCATGCTCATGGTTAGGAAGAATCAATATCGTGAAAATGGCCATAGTGCCCAGAGTAATTTATAGATTCAATGCTATCCCCATCAAGCTACCAATGACCCTCTTGACAGCACTGGAAAAAACCACCTTAAACTTCATATGGAACCAAAAGAGAGCTTTCATAGCCAAGTCAATTCTAAGCAAAAAGAACAAAGCTGGAGGCATCACACTACCTGACTTCAAACTACACTACAAGGCTACAGTAATCAAAACAGCATGGTACTGGTACCAAAACAGAGATAGAGACCAATGGAACAGAACAGAGGCCTCAGAGGCAATACCACACATCTACAACCATCTGATTTTTGACAAACCTTGCAAAAACAAGCAATGGGGAAAGGATTTCCTTTTTAATAAATGATGTAGGGAAAACTGTCTAGCCATGTGCAGAAAGCAGAAACTGGACCCCTTCCTGACACCTTACACTAAAATTAACTCCAGATGGATTAAAGACTTAAACATAAGACCTAACAGCATAAAATCCTTAGAAAAAGCTTTATCAAAACCATTCAGGACATAGGCATAGACAAGGACTTAATGACTAAAACACCAAAAGCATTGGCAACAAAAGCCAAAATAGACAAATGGGATCTAATTAAACTTCAGATCTTCTGCACAGCAACAGAAATAATCGTTAGAGCGAACCGGCAACCAACAGAATGGAAAAAAAAATTGCAATCTACCCATCTGACAAAGGGTTATTATCCAGAATCTACAAAGAACTAAAACAGAATTACAAGAAAAAAACAAACCCATTCAAAAGTGGGTGAAGGACATGAACAGATACTTTTCAAAAGAAGACATATATAAGGCCAAAAAACATGAAAAAATGCTCACCATCACTGGTTATTAGAGAAATGCAAATAAAAACCACATTGAGATACCATCTCATGCCAATTAGAATGGCTATCATTAAAAAATCTGGAGACAACAGATGCTGGAGATGATAAGGAGAAATAGGAACACTTTTACACTGCTGGTGGGAGGATAAATTAGGTCAACCATTGTGGACGACAGTGTGGTAAATCCTCAAGGACCTAGAATTAGAAATTCCATTTGACCCAGCAATCTCATTACTGGGTATATATCCAAAGGATTATAAATCATTCTATTATAAGGACACATGCACATGTATGTTCATTGCAGAACTGTTTACAATAGCAAAGACCTGGAACTAACCCAAATGCCCATTGATGATAGACTGGGCAAGGAAGATATGGCACATATACACTATGGAATACTATACAGCCATAAAAAAGGATGAGTTTGTGTCCTTTGTAGGGACATGGATGTATCTGGAAACCATCATTTTCAGTAAACTGACACAAGAACAGAAAATCAAACACCGCATGTTCTCACCCATAGGTGGGTGTTGAACAGTGAGAACACATGGACACAGTGAGGGGAGCATCACACACTGGGGTCTCTTGTGGGGGAGTAGGGGAGGAACAGCAGGGTGTAGAGGGGCTGGGGAGAGATAACGTGGGGAGAAATGCCAGATATAGGTAAGGGGGGGATGGAGGCAGCGAACCACATTGCCATGTATATACCTATGCAAGAATCCTGCATGTTCTGCACATGTACCCCAGAACCTAAAGTGCAATAAAATATATATATATAAAAAAATGATGCTTTCTGATAAGGATTAGAACAAATCATTTGAGATGCCAGTTTTGTATTCTATTCTGCAAGTGCTAAAGTGGCCTCTAATTCAGTTTACCCAGAATTGGCTACAAAGGTCTTCTAGCTGCACAGTGAATCAACTATTTGGCAGAAGTTTTCACAAGGAAACAGAAGAGTTTGTTTGCCTTTTATCTATCTGAAAGTGATCCCATGTGGATATGAAGTTGGCCGAGAAGGCAGGGAGTGAAGGGGAATGGAACTGTCTACTCACTGACTATTTCAAAATCTGAATTTCTGCCACAGATTGGGCAGGCTTTAACTTTTATTTTTTACTTACTCTTTTGTTGGCACGTTTCTAAAAGCACAGCAGTGGCTGGGGTAAGTCAGCGTGGCATCCAGGAGATTGGCAAATTTTTCTCTCGATGGCAATTTTTTTAGAGAATAGGATGACGTGGCAATTAGCGTCTGAATGGACTCTAGGCCATGGCTCGGTAGGGCCTGCAATTTGGTGGAAGAAATATCCCTGAACAATAAAGGGAAGAAATGCTTTTTATTTATTTATTTTATACATTTTATTCAGAGAATGGAACCTCCCTCAACAATAGTATCATTTTAGGCTCTGAGAAATCTTTTCTTCGTTCTGCTTTTCCCTTAATCCTCTATTTCAATTACTCTCACTAAGATCTGAATTCAAAAAAGCGATTCTGTATTTTTTCTCATGTGCATCTCATTGTTTTTTTCAAGGTTAAGTATAACTCCTTGTACCTACCATACATTAGCATTTCTCTCTCTCTCGCCTCTTCCAACTCCTTTACCCCACCCTCTCTCTTCCTCTACTTCTCTCCACTTAGCAGAAGGGAAATAATCACTTGCTTTATGAGACAGCCAGCACATGCAGTTATATCAGCTTTTGTGCTCTGCCCCAGGGAGAATTATTCAGGGCTTCAGATGCTTCAGTCTTTGATTGATTAAGCCCTGCAGGAGAGGTTTTCATGAAGCATAGGCTGGTTACCTTATTAAGAGCTGCTGTGTGGCATTAGCCATCATCTACCTAGGAAGCAAATGCATGTTCTCTAATGCAAACTTGATTCATCTGTTCAAAGCAAGCAGAACTGTGTGGAAAGCTCAGGCTTTGTCAACAAGGTCCTGAACCCTTTGGTTTTACTAGACTTGAGGCAACGTCCGAGAAAATTCCTAACACATTAAATGTTAGGAGAAGGAAGAGTCAATGGAAATTAAACAATTCTGCTCATCTTCTAAGTGGCTGCTGCTGATGCCCCACAAAACTTTTCCAGCCGTATAGGTCCCCTCAGCAATCGTCCCCAAGACTTGGTGCTCAGCGCATGGGAGGGGACCAATAGGTGGTTGATGAAAGATGAATTTGACAATATGGATTGATAATGGTGTAGGTCCTCAGCGGAAAAATTAAGGCAGCAAAATTTGTCCCAGGGGCTTCAGACTTCTCCGCTTTTGTGTCCCTGTTGATTAGGTAACCAGGGTTCTCATTCTGCTTTATAGGGTTTTTATCTCAGGGCTTGAGCACAGGACTCTTTGAAGATCTGGTGGATTTTTTTGTTTGTCTTTTGAGTGGGTGCATTTAATTAGGTTCTTAGAAATGGTATGGCCTCATTACAAGGCAGTGAACCTCTGATAGTGGGTTTTCAGTCTTAATGACAGACTAGTGGATGGGGGAAATACTTTTTGAGTGAGGGTGGAGTGGATGCTTTCAGATACGATTCAAATCCTAGGAATATAATAAGAACAACCTCTTGGGAAGGAAGAGACCTGGGTCTGGTGCTACTGTTTTGGACATCAGAGTGTAGGGGTCTGTAGTGCCCATGGTCACTTCTAAGCAGCTGATAAGCAGCTGTTTAAGCAAATACTGTCATGCAGAGGTCTTGGGAACACAGTGATTTTATTGTGTTTTGTATCTGAGCCAGAGGGAGCTCTCTTTGTTTTCCTAGTGACCAAGTAGAAGGCCAGTTGCTGTAACAGCTCTGCCTACAGGATGTGCTAAACTGGAGAGTATTTAGCCAACCTACACGATTTGGAGTCTGGTATACTTTGCATATGAGACACACAGAAAAAGACTCCTGGGATAAAGTTGCCAGAAGTTGAGAGCAGAGAAAGCAGTGGGTGGAGCCACAAAATAGTGGAAATCGTAAGTAAACAGAAGTTATGAGGTTGAGGGGAGATTAGAGGGAGTTAGAATTGACAGTGACAGAAGTTAGGAAGCAGAAAGATGTAGGAATTTTAGTGGCAGGAGTTAGGAAGTGTAGTGGCAGGACTTAAGAAGTAGACAGTGAGAACTAGACAGTAGCAGGAGCTAGGAAATAAAGTCAGGAGGTGACAGTGGGAGCTAGGAACTAGCAGTCAGGCTCAGTAGTGGCAGGAACAGGAAGTAGACAGTCAAAAGTGGATAGCAGGAAAGAGTTAGGAAATAGAGTGAGGGGCTGAGAGGGGCAGGAGCTGGGAAGTAGACAGACTTTGGGTTTTATAATGGCGGAAATTAGACAGAGCCATGAGTTGATCTTGGCAGGTTCTACAGGATGAAGAATAACCAGGACGGTTCATTTCCTTCCCTTGCTCAAAATTCCAAAGCTTCCCCATCTCACTTAAAGAACAAAGTCCATATAGCGACCACAGCCCCCCCACCTCCACCACCCCATGGTCCAGCTCTCTGCCACAGCTCTGTCCTCATATTCTATGATTCTCCTCTTTGCTCACTCTGCCATATTGGCCTCCTTGCTGTTCTTCAAATACACGACGTAAGATCCTGTCTCAGACCTTTGCTTTTGCTGTTCCCCCTCCTGGAACACCTTTCCTGCAGATAATCACATAACTTGCTTCCTTTAGGTGCTCGTTCAAATGACCCTTTTTCAGGATAGTCTTCCCTCACTATCCCCTTTAAAATGGCAATTTCCCCCTCTAGGGAATGAGTTTTCCCCTCTGCAACCAATAGCATTTGGACCACTACGTATTTTATTTACTTATTCGATCTGTGTCTATATTCCCCTTTTTATGAAGGCAGAAGTGTTTGTCTCTTCTCATTCTCTGCCATTTCCCTGATGCCGAATCCAGTGACTACCACATAAGTGGGCTCATAAGTTAGTGAATAAATGGATGGATGAACAAATGAAGTGGGTTACCCTGCTCACCATTTTTCTAGAACTTTTGTTCACTGTAAAATGACATACCTGTTTATTGCTTTGCCTGTTTGCTGTTGTCTCCCTTATGTGACTGTCATCTCGTTAAGGGCAAGGACCAGGGCTATTCTGCTTACTACTGTCTGTTCACAACGGTGCCTGGTACATAGGACAGGTTCAATCAATGTTTGCTGGATAAGTAACAGCTGCTAGAGCAGGGTGTCGTGGACTGCCGCCTCTGTGATAGGGTAACCGGTGGCCCTATGTTAGAGCAGTGCAGTATCTGGAACTCTGTTGCATTTCTCCCTAAAGCCTGACTGCAGCTTCAGGTCTCTGCAGGATGTTGGAGGTTTCAGGCTTCTCAAGGTTTTGTCAGATTCCATGTTCTGTTCTTTAAACCCCTTTTAACTGAGAGAGCCTGGCCCTAATCCTTGTACCCTCAGAGAGTCTGACAGGACTTTAGCCCTGTCCAGCCAATTGCCAGGGGCAAGCCAGATCTATGGCCTTAGATTTCCATGAGTGGATTCCAGGTGGGTAGCCAGCCTCTCTGCCAGCACATGAGGCCACTCCCCATCCATATTTGATGTTATAGGTTAAATTGTGTCCCACACTCCAAAAGTTCATATCTTGAAGTCCCCAGTACCTGAGACCTTATTTGGAGATAGAGTCTTTACAGAGGTATTGAAGTTAAAATGAGATTATTGGGTGGGCTCTAATCCAATATGACTGCCATTCTTATTAAAGGGGCAATTTGGGCTGGATATGGTAGCTCACACTTGTCATCCCAGCACTTTAGGAGGCCAACGCAGGTGGATCACGTGGTCAGGAGTTCGAGACCAGCTTGGCCAGCATGGTGAAATCCTGTCTCTACTAAACATACAAAAAATTAGCTGAGCATGGTGGTGGGTGCCTGTAATCCCAGCTAGTTTGGAGGCTGGGGCAGGATAATTGCTTGAACCAGGAGGCAGAGGTTCAAGCCAAGATCACATCATTGCACTCCAGCCTGGGTGACTGAGTGAGACTCCATTTAAAAAAAAAAAAAAAAAAAAAAAGAGGTTGCAATTTGGACACACACACACACACACACACACACACACACACACACAATACCATGTGAAGATTGGAGTTATGTTGCCACAACTAGAAAGAGCTAGCACGAGCAAGGAGAGGCCTGGAATAGACGCTTTCTTCACAGCCCTCAGAGGGAGCCAACCTCTGCTGACACCTGGATTTTGGACATCTAGCTTCCAGAACTGTAAGATGGAATTTCTGTTGTTTAAGCCTCTCCGTTTGGGGTGATACACTTGGTCTTTCCAACAGCAGCCTTTTCAGGTATAGAGACTGATGCTCCACATATCAGCCTGGAGATGACATGGAGGGATGCCCTAAGCAGTCCTGTTGGGGTGCACTGGGCAAGGAGGGGAGGCAGCACCCCTCTACTCACAAGATGCTGGGCCCCGTGGCCCCACGGAAGGCTCCATTGTGTATCCTCTCCAGATGTACATTTTCCTTTAGTACCCTGTGGGGAAGGACATTTTCCTTAGTGGAGTTTGTACCTCATGTGTAAGCATTCGTAGCTGTGTCTACACATGTTTAGACCAAACTGTGTGCAAGGTACATAGGGTTAGAAGGGAAAAAAGGCGGAAGTGGAGGGAGCGTGGAAGAAAGACACACTAGTCCTTGATGAAATTATGAAATTGCTGGCATGTGTGTTTGGCCACATCTTTTTTTCTTCCATTCCCTCCTCACTTGGTAGAACTCTGTTCTATAGCTTAAAGTACTCACCCCCTCCTGTCTTGGAGTTCTGAAAGTTTACCACCAGGCAGCTGGGTAAGGATGAAGATGCTGCTCCAAGAGGCCAAGGCTGATGGGCTGAGGTGCAGGCTGCTCTTTGTTAGCCTCTCAGCCATTGTGACCTTGGATGTCTCAGAGTGTGCTAATAGTAATATACTGAAGTTTGCAAATACTTGAAAAGGTAGGGTTCGTTGAAAGTTATCCCTTTTTTCCTGACCTCACACAGACAAACTGTGTTGGTTTTCCTCCCATCTGTTTTATTTTGTTCTGCTTCTCTTGCTCATCTTGTTTCAAAGTTATCCCTTTTGTAGTGTAATTTGCATTCTTTTTCTTTCGGACATGCATTTCTGAGTGGGTGAGAAAGAGGAGGACTTACAGCCTCTGTAGAAAATTACCCCATAACCTGAGTATCCCATGGGGCTGTGCAGTGTAAATGATCATCGCCAGGTGTGTGCGTGAGTCATGGAGACAAAAGTGTTGAGGGCCACTACTCTCAAGGCTGTGGAAGAAGCCAAAAGCTGTTATGGAAGAAGCTCCCTGAGGGCTCTGCTGCCTTTAGCTCAGTCATTCAAGCTAAACTTCTTAGGAGCAGCACATCCTGGTCCTGCTAGGCAGCCTCCAGTCTGGCCCCTGACACTGGTATCTCCAAGCACATGCCCTTCTCTGTGTAGTGGAGGGAGCTAGACGAGGAATCCCTGGGCTCAAGCCTGCCAGCCTTCTTCTGAGCACTTCCTCTCTGTTAGAGAATGGTCGTGACTCACAGAGCATCTGAAACACCCCGAATGTTTGGGCGCAGTATGCCTCTATCATTGGTGTGATGGTTTTAAGCATAGGAACATGATTCTCTTACCACCATTACAGTATACACGGCAGAGAAGACACAGTAACACCCATTCCTCACGCCCTTGCCATTTAAGAACTGAAAATGCCCTTGCATCTCACTCTCAAAAGCCCTCACTCTCTGAGTGGCTGTTTTCCATGTTTCTACTAAGCATTTTCTTTGGAAACCCTCAGCCGTTTCATCAGAATGCACCTGTCAGTCTCACATTATCCCATCCCCTGGGTGTATTTCCACTTTCAGAGAGATGAGGTTGTCAGAGTCAATTGCTGTTTAAAATCTAAATCAAAAGAAATTTTTCTTCCTAAACCTCCATGGCTCTTCTTCCTGATTTGGTTTCTTTTAATTATGTTCAGTTATAGTTATAAATCATGGAAACTGGGCTCTGTGAGAAAATTATTCTTGTGTCAGCCCGGTCAGACTAATTGTTCAAATTTCAAATTGTTCACATATTTTATTAAAACCCAGATCTTTCTGTATACTAAGAACTCTGTATTATGTAACTTGGTCAAAAAATAAATCCATTTCCCCCCTTTTCCTGGGGTTACTTTTGAGAATTCTCCCAATGACATGATCTTGCTGGTGTGAGACACATGCAGGACGACCTTTTGAAGCACAGTGGAAAAACCCACAAGTGCCACCAAAGCTTTCCCAGCTGGGTACTCTGGGAACAGCAGACACTGACTCCCAGACCCCTTGGGTGCCTCAGGGCAACCTTCTGGGACTGCTCCTGTCTTTCCCTTGCTGCTTAGTGAGTCAGGTGTTTGTGAACTTTGCAGGACTTCAGTATCATGGTGTTCTGAACAACTTTGAACAGATCTATTTATGAGGAAGGGCTGAATGTATAGCTTGACCATTTTGCTTGACAGTTTTGAAAACTGCTCCTCCCTCCTTGCTTAAACTCTTCAATGGGTGGCCTTGCCCTTGGAAGAGAATTCAGACTCCTTTCCCATGGCTGCTCAATCCTGCTCCATCTCCATCACCATCACCAGTCACTCCCTTGCTAAAGACCCTCCAGCCACACTGGCCTCCTCTTAATTCCTGGAACTTACCAGCTTACTTCCTTTTCAACTCAGGACCTTTGCACATCTGTTCCCTCTTTCTGTAGTGTGCCCCACTCACTGTTGCCACAGTGGAAGCCTGGTCATCCTTCAGGGTCAGCCTAAATATCATGTCCTTGGTGAGGCCATCCTGAGTACCTTGCCTAAATCGTTCACCCCTCATACTCTCTCAGATCTCAGTAATGGGTTATTTCCTTCATAGTATACATTAATCTTATAATAATTTTATCTATTATTTATTGATTTTTTTGTCTGTCTCTTCTGATAGAACAGAAACTTCATAAGGGTGGGGACTGTGTCCGCTTTACCATCGCAGACTCAGTACCTAACACAGTGCTTAGTATGTCAGTGGTGCTTAATAAATGTTTGTTGAATGAAATGAAGTTTGTTCTTGGCAAAGTGACCTATGTTCTTGGTTTCCTTTCTTGCAACAGGGAGATACAGGGTATACAGTATGTTGACGAATTGGACTTTTCACAGTTCATACCCATTTTGGCATCTCTGTAACAGCTGAAATTCTGCTGACCACCTGAAATCTTCCCTCCTAAATTTCTGTTTTTCCTGACCTCACACAGACATACTGTGTTGGTTTTCCTCCCATCTCTTTTATTTTGTTCTTGCTTCCCTTGTTCATCTTGTTTCCCTTTAATTTAATATTAAGTTCTCCTATTTTTTCCCTGTTCAGGTAACCTCAGCCACACAGGACTTCAGCCATCCCTTCTATGCAGATGACCCTGGCGTTTGTGTCTCTAGCCCTGCTTATCCCTTCCAGCCTTCCATCCTTCCTACTCACAGATGGACCTTTTTAAGCACTCATCTCATATTTCCATCTCAGAACTTTCAATGGCTTCTCATCTTCTGCAAAAGAGAGTCCAAACTCTTTACTATGGCATCTAAAGCCCTTCATGTTTTGTCCCCAACTCACATCTAGAAAGTACTATTTGATGGTCTATGAACACATCCTATACTTCCTCCTCTGGATCATTCTTCTTGCTGTCCTCTGCTTGGAAGGCATTTCCCCTCTATTTTTGCCTAAGTTATGCCCAGCTCAAAGCCCCCCTTTCTCAGAGGCTTTCTATAATTTCCTTTCTTCTTGCCTTTGAAATCCCAGAGGACTTCACCTCTCTCTGGAGGCTTCATGCTTTGCCTTCTGTTTTAGTTAGTACTGAATGTGCAGTTTATACACCATTTGGAGATGCTTCCTCCTAGGCTGTAAGCTCCTGTAGGGCAACACCAGGACTTAATCATCTTCATTTCCGCTCAAAATATAGCATGTTTCTTCAAACACAGCTGATGCTTGGTAAACATTTGTTGAGTGAATAATGGAATGAGGCATCTGAGAGGACTGTGCCAGGAGATTATCTAAATGCCTCTGATTTATGTTTGGCAGAAACCGATTCAGTTAGCCAGACTGAACCCTTTGTTAACTTAAGGGTTCTTGTTAATGAACCTCTCATTAAGTCATCAAGTCAACAAGAACATGAGGGCAAATTTACCCCATGATAGGAGAACAACTTTAAAAATTCTACAATTTCTTGGACACTTAGTATGTGCTACTATGCTGTGCTAAGCACATAAAAATATAATCTTGTTTAACTGTTTACCCATAATTAATTATGTTATATAGCACATACTAAATAAACACCTACTATATGCCAAGCACTGTAAGTACTGAGGATGTGAAACAGATCTTTTCATTTTGGTGGGGGTATCTTCAAAACAAGCCTATTAGTGGATCCATTTTATAAATGAGGACACTGTGGCTTAGATAGGTTAAGTAACTTGCTCAAGGTCATGCCAGCTGTTAAATAGTGGAACTGGAGTTTGAGTCCCCATCACTGTCTCTTAAGTCTATTCTCTTAGCCACCAAACTATATAGCATGAAGAGTCTTTGGTTAGATATCTATAATTAATAATAAATAGCACATTATAGTAAATTGTGCTACCCAACTTTAAACTGTACTACCCAACTTCAGACTGACAGCATCAGCATCTCCTGAAGCTTGTTAAAACTGCAAATTCTCAGGCCCTACCTAGTTCTACTGCAAAGTTTTTGGGGGTAGGGCCCAGGAATCTGTGTTTTAGCAATCTGTAGGTTCTTCTTAGGTGTGTAAAAGTTTGAGAAGCATTATTACAGATCATGGTTTATACAACTTAATTACTTTAAAAGCCTTTTGTTTATTTTCCTTAATTTTGGCTTTAATTGAACTTTTCATGTGCTCCTAGTTTTTATTATGCACAAATTGTAGGGTGACTGTCACCTCACTGTTTACTTGCTATGGTTCAAATGTCCCCAGCCCCACAAACTTTTTGAATGTGCCACTCTTTTAGAAGAGGATCCATAGAAGGAAAGAGAGGTTGAGAGCAATGAAGGAGACAGTGGCGATGCTGTTCTTGAATGAAATGCTGTTAACATGAAGAACTGAGTAGGGTGTGGTGAAAACACAAATCTCCCTACCTTGTGGAAAATGAGCTTCCTCTTGCACGAGCAGAGATGGGACTCTCTGAGTGGGTCTGTTGTGGCTGATTAGGCTAGTAAATGGTGGTGGTATCTGATATCTCTGCAGTGGGGCTCAGGGAAGAATTTCTTTCTGAAATTCTGCTGCCTCTAACACACCATCAACCTGAGTGAGGGGGCTAGAGAGGGAGGCACTGAGTTGGAGGAGGCATAAAGTAGGGTGTTGAATATTTCAGTAAACTGTCAACTTCAATGTATCCAGGCTGCATCTGTCTTTGAAATCAGGGTGCTATGGGGTTTCCAGCAACCCAGTTGCCTAGTAACATGCATGAAACGCGGAGGGCTAGCCACTTGAAAGTTTGTTTTTGCCCTGAGTTAGTTGCTGAAGATTGAATGTGATCTGGTAGCAAGAGTAATATTTCATTTTTTATTCGTGTGCTGGGGAAATAAGCAAATACTTACAGTGAAATCACTGTCGTACCATTGAACGCATGACTTTGTACTTCTTCAAATCCATTTCCATATAGTTTGCTGAAGGAGGGAGGAGAGGGTTTAGGAATGGGAAGAAACTGAAAGAAACAGTTTGGAAACACACATTCTTCCTCCTGTTACATTTATTACTAAGGCCATTACAGGCATTTATAATATCTAGTTCTGTTTCTCTAACATTTTAGATTCTAAGGGCCTGGGTGGATAAAGCTCTTCTTTTTGCTCTAGTTTATCTCTACTTCCATCCTCACCACCACCATCAATTTATGAAGTTTCTATTAAGTGCCAGATACTTCATCAGCCACTCTGTGTGTATTTTATGACTTAATCCTTATCATCATTTCCATCATACTGACAAGAAACCTAAGCCTCAGTGTGGTTATGTAGTTTGCTTAATGTCAAAGGAAAACAGTGGCATAGCTGGGATTTGAGGCCAGAGTTGTTTAACACTTCAGCCTTTCCTCTGGTTTTGCAGGACTGCGTGGGCATATGGGTTCTCTGGGTATTGAAAGCTGAGGGCAGAGGCAGCCTCCAGCACTGAACCAGCTTTTTTTTGTTGTTGTTGTTGGATGAGTAGGTAGTTTTGCTGATGTCAAATTTGGCTCCACAATCAAGATTTCAATGTCTATAAACAGTTTTTTAACAACATTAGTAGATAGTGAATCAATTTACTTGGGTGTAACTAGCATTTTAAAAAGCTGCATAGAAAAGAATGAAAAGTATTAGAGCATTTTGCAAGTAATAAGGTGTTAATTTTTATGAAATTTTATGCCACCATTTTTATGGTATATACCTATAAATACACACATGCACATGCATGCACACATGCACATATATATACTTTTACCTGGAATAACACATAAGAGGGTCCTTAGAACACAGATACTGGAAAATGTTTGAGGCAAAAAGGCGTCTAGAGAGGATCAGGCAGCACATCTTCATTTTGCAAAGAAGGAAATAGGCTCAGTGAGGGAAAGTGACTTGTCTAACGCCCACAACTGGCATAAATGCAACCAGAACATGCTTTGGCTGGGGCTACTTCCAGCACATCAATTTTGCTGATCCTTTTTATTTTTCCTGCCGATATCCTCATGGCCTACCCATCCTCCTCCTGCAGGATTGTATTCCATATCATGTTCTCAGTGGGGCCTTTACTGGCTGCCCTGTTTAAAACACCAATTTCCTATCCCCCTACTTTTCCTATCCTCCTTCCCTCATTTGTTTTTCCTCCATTGCTTTATCATCATCTGACTCTTGATTATATTTTACTTGTTTATTGTTTACCTTCTCCGGGAGAACATATCCTCCTGTATCTAGAACAGGGCCTGGCACCTGGGAGTATTACAATAAATATACATTAAATGAATTGGATGACCAAATGGGAGTATGTCAGATGGATTTCTGGCCATAAAGCATAGCCAAACAAGTTTGAAAGCTACTGACTTAGATGGAAAAATTTGTATAAGTCCTTTGTCAACGATGAGGTAAAACCCACATCAAAAAGGGCTGTGGTGTGATGTAAAGTTAAGTTCCTTATATCTGCCAAGACCCTTGCTTCCCTTTGCAGGGTTGCTGGAAGCTGGCAAGGGACAGGCTGTGGGGTGTAACTTGAGAAATGGTTCAGAAACATGCTTTACTTGCTCCTGCTCCAGGGAGCTATTGTCTACAAGGCCTCTCTAGTCTTTGTTAAATAAAATGAGCACAGAACTTCACTTTGGGGCTGTGTGTGTATGCATGTAACATCAACAGCATGTATGTATTCTGTGTATATATGTACGTATGGTCTCCTCCCACCAACCCGTAACACAGCTGAGACAAACTAATATATAAATAAACTCATGTTGAAGTACAATATTTAAACTCTGAAATTCAGAAAATAGAATTAGAGATTACAAAATAGTTCTTAAGTCTCCTTGTTAGATTCAGTTCAAAGAGGGCAGGGGAGCATACTTAATTCATTTCTTAACCCCCTTGGGCCTCACAGAATGCCTGGTACCTCGCTCAGTTAATAGCCTGGGTAAGGCAGCGGCTTTGCCCAACCCCGGGATGGGAGGCTTCCAGGGCTTCCCATGCTCTCATATGCGTCTTCCGAAATTCTTCAGAGTTTACCGCTTCACACACTAGCTCTCCCATATTGGATTACTGGATGCCACTTACAGTAGTTTTCTTCTCCTTCTATATTGTTGAATCTGAGAACATAGGTACAGGGTTGATACCTGGTGTCTTGTATAATTATACACAACCTTGTTGTCTCCTTAGCAACTCCATTTCACTGGAATTCTTTTTTATTTTGCAGTTAGGATATTATTCTTTGGCAGTCTCCTGCCTTTTAGGGGTTGAATTCCTTTATAGCAGTCTCTTTTAGATAAAGGAATCACACCCTTTTAAATCTGATTTCTTAGACTCTAGCCCAGTATTTGTCAAAGCTTTCTCCTCCATCCAGTGAATTAGAATCACCTGGAGCTGCCCGTTAAAAATGCAGACTCAGACCTATTAAATCAGAAACTAGTAGTGGTATCCAAAAATCCGCACTTTTATAACAAGCTCTCCCAGTGAGCCTTCAGTATGCCGGGTTGAGAACCTTGCCCTAGGGTATATCATAGGATGATACTGTTCCCGCCATTTCAATGGGGCAAATCAGATGGTCGTTGCTTAGAATTGTGTCCAGAGTCTAGTCACTGAATTGCTTTCTCTACCTTCTAAGTGATGGCACTACATGTGTAGTTGATGAAGAAAAAGCGGCTTTTGTTTTCACCAAAGCTGCTAACAGCAGTCTAGATGTCCATTACTCTTCATGGTTGCCTGCTGCCCTGATCCTTGTTTTGATACCTGTTAGGATTTTATGCTTTTCTGTTACACTAACAATGTCGTGGCTGTAAATGTACCCTCGTGATTAAGTCTGCAGGCACTGAACCCATTTTCTTGAATCCCGGCTCTGCTACTTACAATCTGAATTACTTGGGGCAAGTTACTTACCTTCTCTGTGCCTTAATTTCCTAATCTGAAAATCTAATAATAGTATCAACCTCATAAAGCTATTATAAGGACTAAAAATGTAAATACACGTTAAGCACTTAAAAGTAGGTTCTGGAACACAATAAATGCTTAATGCGTTGGTCCTATAATTATTATTATATTTTGCAGTAGCTCCAGCCTTCTGACCAGAACAGAGGGAAAGGGTCTCCCTTTCCAAGCTCTGGACAGGATTTCTATCAAATATAGGCATCTTGTTTAACTGAACTATCATCTTTCTCTACTGAGGTAGGGGGTCTTTCTCTTTCTGGGTAGAGCAAGTCAGGTCAGTGGCTTGGGCTGCCCAGATGTACTCACACACTAAAGAATCTGTGCTAGCATCATGGACTTTTTTGCCTTTAGACATTTTCCATGTCTTTTTTTTTTTTTTAATAGCCTCTGTCCTGCTTGTCTCAACTTTCCAAACAATGTGGTACACTGTTTCAGTTGCTCTTGTCCCTGTTCTTACCAGTCACACACAATAAAATGCACTGCCTTGTTTTGATTAAAAAAGAAGCTTCCTTACTTTGGAGAAATTACAAATCTGAGTGGGAGACCTCATGCTGTCAGACTTGAACAATGCTTTTAATACCCTTAAAAAAACATCTGGAGAGTCACTTCAGATAACTTTTTTCCAAAACATCATGGTGTCAGAATTAAATAAGCTTCCTTTGCTTTACTTTGAGAGTTTTGTCACAGGTACAAAAATGAAGATTTTCACCTCCCCCAACTTCTCCTCTATTACAATAGCTGTACCTAACTTGAAAGCATTGTCTAGGCTCTTTAGTCAACTGCCAGTAATTGTGAATCAAACAGACAGAATGGCACCTTTTTGTTCAAAATAAGATTTGGACTTTAGATATTAATCACTGATGATACAGCTGGGGCTGAATGAAGTCCATTCAGCTGGGGCTGAATGATGCTTTATAATGAACTCCAAATATTCCTGGGGCTCTAAAAGCATTTATGGGGTTCTAATATGAACAGTATCAGACATTCTTCTGTAGTTTCCTTTTGGATCACCTGGTTTCTGGATGATTTCAAAGAAGAAAGCTTAATTTACGTTTACAGATACTCAGGGTCTCAAAAAAGCAGCCCCATTGCTGAAAGGCAAAGCATACCATTTTAGAAAATATCTTTTAGAAAATATGGTGGTATATTTGTAAGCAAATTTTTATCAAATGACTATATAAACAGCATTATAAAGAAAGGGAATCCTAAATTCACTTTCCCTGTATGGAACTTTGCTGAAGTCCTGTTACAGCTGAAAAGTTTCTCATGTATGAAGACACTTCTCTAGTGGATGTGCTGCCAATGGTTAAATGAGTAACTGTCTATGTGCTGCTGTAACCCTAGTTATGAATCAGAGTCCCCCCATTTCTCGGGGCTCACAGTCTCTATAGCAAGGGATCCCTCTCTCCGTATGGCTGTGCCTCTTGCCTCTCAGAAGCACTGAGTTTTCATGTTTCCTTCTATCTCAGCCATGTTCATGTCAACTTATATGACTTTACTATATGTAATAATAAAAAGAGTAACAGGCATCAGAAAGAATGATAACACCAAAGGATTCTAATATGTTGAATACGTTTTTTGAAAAATCCACGTTCTATAGTGATACTCAAAAAAACGACAGACCAAGAGAGAACAAGGAAAAGGGGAAAAAAGGAGGCATCTTCTTTGCAGAAGGTTGTTGGCTAATAAATGTAGAAGAATGATAGCATGTAAAAACTACCATTTTGTAACTCCCTTTGTAACAACTGAATAATCAATGGAGGCTGAAACCATTGGATGAAAAGTTGTTGGCCAACTGAATAGTCACAGAAACTCAAAGTGTACTGCCACAGTTTACTTAGTAATGACAGAGGAAGATGTGCTCTTACAATAGAGATCTGGCAGTCACTGCCTTAACCAAGCAGCCAAGTAGTGGGACAGTGGGGCATAATGTACTTCCTGGTTTGATGTAGTGAAAGAGACACAGCACCCCTTCGCAGTGTTCTTGCAGAAATATTTGACCTGAGTCTAGTCATGGCAATATGAATTAGACAACTGAATCCCGACAACTGTCTTGGGCTTTTCAAAGGATCCTATGTCATACAGAACAGAGAAAGGAAGCTGGACAGTTCAGGAGATGGGGAGAGATGTGGGAGGTGAGGTTGGGAGGAAAAAGGGAAATAACAGCAAAAATGCAATGCATAAACTTTGTTTTTAAAAAAACCTATAAAAGACATTTTCATTTGAATATGGACTGTAGGTTAGATATTATTATATTCGTGTTGATTTTCTTAGGTGTGACGGCACTGTAGTTATATAGAATGTCCATGTTTTAGGGAGAGACATGCTCAAGTATTTAGGGATGAAATGTCATATTGTCTATAAACTTCTTTTGGATGGCTTGGCTAAAGGGTAGTGAGTGGTATATACTCACATACAAAGAGATGGAGTGGGTGTGGCAAGCGGCTAACAGTTGCTGAATCTGCATAAGGTGTATAGGGGTGTTCATCACACTGTTCTTTCCATTTGTCAATGAAGAGACAAATGGAAAGTGCCTCAATTTGTCAGTTAAACATTTAAAAAAAAATTTAAAAGGAGATGATGAGATGTGATATTTTCAAAATGGTCTAAAACAACTGGCCTGCTCCAGGTTGCTATGTATGAGTCTTTAACTGTGATTAATTGTAATTGTGGTGATTGTATAGTTGACACAAAGTGATTTGATTCACACAAGGAGGTAGTAATCCCATGGAACAGGCAGAGACAGAGGCATGTCAAAGTGAGTATGTCAGACTATGACCTAAGGCTGCTTGGCTGGTCAGACACAGAGCCAGGACTGACACCCAGGCTTCCAATTTCAACACAGGAGAGAGACCCAGCAGCCTCTGCGCTGTGGCTTGTCATGGGTACAGCCTGGAATCGTCATGCCTTTCCAGATATCACTTCTTAGAAAATTAATTGCCATGACCTTTCCTTTTCTTTGTGGGGTTAAGATGTGAATCAAGATTGTCTCTTTTTTTTGAGACTAGTATGACCAATCACGTAGAGTATTTTGAAGGTAGTGTAGCTAAATCCTGCTTATTTGGGGAGAAGGGGCATTTCAAGGGGGCCTCTTGAGGAGATTTAATAAACAACCAAAGTGGCTCTGAAGGGACATAAGAGCATAATGCATACTTTTAGCATTAGCCCCACTGAGTTTCTCCAGCACCAAGTGACTTCTCTTGCTTTCATTAAATGAGCTCACAGTTGGTAAAGATTTGGGTAGGGGGAGGGCAAGACAGGTTCTACAAAAAGCAAAATCTCAAGTACCACTAATAATGAAAAAAGAAGGCTTGCTTTCATTATTTTCTAATTAGAGTTGAACTTTATAGCTGAGAAAAGAAGGCTTTCCTCTCTAAGTATAATACCCTTTTTCCAGCAGTGTGCTCCACATGATCCTTTGCTTATAGAAGGGCCCATTCAGCAGAGAACAAGTGCCAGGCAAGTGACTAATCACTCCCCTTCCAGATGAAGGGCCAAGAATGAGAAGGGGGATGGAACTACAATGTCCCACAGGCTCTCTGTGAGACACAGAGCCTCCATCTTTATTAACTTCAGAGTGGGGTAATTATACCCTACAGGCATGCACTATTGTTCTTAAAATCATGACCAATGTAAGTTAATGGCCCTGTCACAAGAAAACCGTGAAGCTCTCTGTGTACATTCTGAAGTATGATGTGTGAGAAGGAATCTTTGGTTACTCCTTGAGTCTGGTGGGGTGACCCAGTCATGTGAGCTCATAGTTACCTATGGATTATCCCAACATTCATTTTCTTCTTCACCCTCCTCCATGTCTTCTGCCCTTTCGTTCTTACTTCACTTCGCTCCCATCATTGCACATTTACTTGGGAGGAATACCTATTGGTCCCTGATTATTTTTAGATTTAGATCAAAATCAAAGAGAGTTGTGGATATTTGTGATCTTTGAATAAAGGCTACTTTATTGGGTGGATTCTTTCATTACTTTTTTTCAGCATTACTTCCAAGCCTGTCCCCTTGTCCTGGCATTTAAGAGTCTCTACAATTCAATGTCCTCTCCATCTCAGCCTCTTATCTAATCTTACTTTCTGTTCCTTAAACAGTGTATTTACACCCAAGAAGTAAGCCTCACTCTGTTCTCCTCCTGCCATGCTTTTGCTCCTGCTGTCTTCTCACTTGGATTCCTTCCAAGAAAGAGAACATGCCTTTCTCTGCATGTGGCACCACGTAATGGTTAAGGACATGACTCTGGAGCCAGACTGCCTGGGTCCAAATCTTGGCTTGGGATAGTGATACTTAACCTCTTGGTGCCTTACTCTCCTCATCTAAAAGTAAGGTCAACAGTTCCTACCTCATAAGGTTGCTATGAGACTTAAAAAGTACTTAAAAACAGGGCAGGTATTTAATAAGGGCTACATAAATATTAGCTGCTATTATCACATTTACCCATATAAATGTTACTGATTCTATGATGTCTAATTCAAGTCTATCAGCTCCACTATGAAGCCTCTTCTGACTTTCCCAGCCCAAGAGGACTTCTCTAAGATCTTATTTCTAAGTACCACACACTCACATAGTGAATATCTACTAGCTTGTATTATTCTTTCATGTTTTTACCCTCATAGAGATTATGAACTTCTCCAGGACATGAATCTAATCCTATGTCTTTTATGTTCTCAAAATAGACATGAAAGATCCCAAATCCTAAGCATGTGATACCACCTCATTCGGAGTTTGGTTGGTGAATACCTTGTTTTTGGTGGGGGACATGATGAATGAGTAGTTCCAGATCCATTATGCAGTGGTAGAGCTTTATAAGCAGCTGGTAGAGCTGTGATGTGTGAGGGAAGTGGCAGGGGTAGAAAGACTGTTGAGAAATATTTCTAGGATCAACAGGGTCTCCTTCCCATTGTTCAAGAGTTACAAGTAAAGAGTATGGGTTATTTTGAAATTATTTGTGGTTGCTGCTCTGTATTCTTTTGATTGCAGTAATCTGAGCTGAAGCTACATGGTCGCAGTTTTGTAACATGACAATTATACATGTAAAATTATACGTAATGCAAAATAAAAGTACTATACAAAGGCAGTGTACCATGGATACCAATTTTTAGAATCCAGTGATATAAAAGAGAGTCCTCTGAGATGGTCTCTTCTTTTGTTTCACATCTATCTCTTCATTTCAGAGTCATTCCAATCCATGTTCTTTCTCTTTTCTTTAAGGGTGGGCTCCTTTATTGCCTCATCACAATTTTGCCATGGGCTGTAACCAAAGCAGAAAGAGTGAGAGGGATATGGATTTGAGGAACAGAATTAAATATCGGTCACTGGGCTTTAGGTATAAAGAAATGAGGCCAGGCACAGTGGCTCATGCTTGTAATCCCAGCACTTTGGAGGGCTGAGGTGGGCAGATCATGAAGTCAAGAGATCGAGACCATCCTGGCCAACGTGGTGAAACCCTGTCTCTACTAAAAATACAAAATTAGCTGGGTGTGGTGGTGTGTGCCTTTAGTTCCAGCTACTTGGGAGGCTAAAGCAGAATTGCTTGAACCCAGGAGGTGGAGGTTGCAGTGAGCCGAGATCTCGCTACTGGCTACTGCACTCCAGCCTAGTGACAGAGTGAGGCTCCATCTCAATAAATAAATAAATACATGAGACATGGTGCCCAGGATTCTGAATGGTGGGGCAGTGGAAGGCTCCCATGTGAAGATGTATGGCAGGGATTCCAGAGGGAAGGAAGTCAGACAAGTGTACTGTGAAGAACATGGATTGAGTTACCTTAGTGCAGTGCTCCTTAAACGTTAATGTACATGTGAATCACTTGGGATCTTGTAAAAAGCATATTCCGTGTTAGTAGGTCTGCAGTAAGCTATTTATAACCAGAGGATACAGTTTAGATCTGTGTTTCCACCCAATCTCATTACAAATTATAATCCTCAATGGTGGAGGTGGGGCCTGGTGGGAGGTGACTGGATCATGGGGGTGGTTTCTCGTGAATGGTTTAGCACCATCCCCCTAGTGCTGTTCTCGTCATAGAGTTCTCATGAGATCTGGTTGTTTCAAAGTGTGTGACACCTCCTGCTCTCTCTCTTTCTACTGCTCTTGGTCATGTGAGGTGCTGGCTCCCCCTTCACCTTCCAACAGGATTGTAAGTTCCCTGAGACCTCCCAGAAGCTTAGCAGATACCAGAATTATGCTTCCTGCAAAGCCTGCAGAATTGTGAGCCAATTAAACTCTTTTCTTTATAAATTACCCAGTCTCAGGTAGTTCTTTATAGCAATGCAAGACAGCTCTCAGAAGATGCTAAAGATGATGGTTCATGGACCATACTTTGAATAGTGAGGCCTTAGGAAACACATGAAAGGGATAGCCTGGTAACTGATGAGTAACTGTCAAATAAAAACACATTATTTTTAAGTATTAAGGGATAGAGAGAATGGGCATAGATAGTGTTCAGAAACAGAGTGAGAGGGACCCAAGAGGAAGGCGAAAAGGAGAGAGACAGAGCAAGGTCCATTGATCAACTACTTTTCCTACTTGGAGAATATCCTTCCAAACTCTCCTCCATTGAAATCTTGAAATTTCTGTGCTCTTTTTCAGCCAGGAAAGCCAATCCTCTCTAGACTGTCTCTTCCCAGCCTTAGAGCATTCTTCATTAATGCAGTGAACAATTTCGTAAGTTTGAAACTCAGTCACTAAAAATCCTTAGGGCCTGTTTGGTTAACTTTATACTGAATTGGTTGGTTGATTGTCAGGTGAACATATGACCCAGCTGTGATCTTATACAACTCACTTCACCCTTAGCATTTTAGGTCAAGTAGAATGTCACCAGTGAGTGAGGAATGTAGTAAAACACGAGAAAGAGCTCATCTCAACCTAGTAGTGAGAATAGCAGGAGGCTGTATGGCAGAACATGAATCTGGGAGTTTACTCACAGTGTTATGGATTCATTATTCATCCCTTGAAAAGCATTTCCTGGTATGGTGGTTATGTGTAAGTTATCACAAATTTCCCTTGAGGAAAGAAATGAGAAATATTTACTTTCCAAATTTTAGCTGCAAATAGGAAACTGTTATGCATAGCAATCAGCCTGTTACTTACAGAATGAAATTAGTTTCAGAGGAGAAGATCTTCGTAACATCTGGAAACTTTCTAATGCCTGTGTTACAGATGCTTCTGTGATTAGGAACAGGGTAGTGGTGTGGGGAAAGAGTGGGTAAAAGTGATTGTTATTAAGACATAAAGGTAACAAGGGAGTAGAAAGGCACTTAGCAAAATGACTGTCACATTAAATTTAAAAATATTGAGTTTGGTGTTATCAGGACTGCTTTTAGCTGAGAAAGATTGTTGGAATTCAAAAGTCCCTGATGCTATGGGAAAAGATGCTCTAATGACTCCTATTTAGGTATCTGGGGACTGGGACCAAACTTAAAGGTCTTTTTCATTTATATTTCCAGCCTTTCTTTCCTTATTAAATCAATCAGATTTTCCTACTATATTGCATTCCATTTCCTTTTGGTAATTAGTTTATTAGATGCTCTTCATAGCTCTAGAAAGTATCCTTAAATTCTGGAGCAGGTTTTGATTCAAATACTTCAAGAAGATTAATCTTATAAAGCCATATTGCTCATTATTAAAAATCTTCCCTTACTTAGCTACATTATAATTCAGGAAGTTCTTCGAATCTCACTGAAATCACTAAACATTCTTTTGGTGTTTGGAACTATTCAAGGCTCTTCTTTTCATCCCACCTTTTATTTAGCCTCTGAACAGGACAGGTGAAATTGCAGAATATTTTATTATAAGAATGGGGCTCCTTCAGAGTCTATGCATCTGAATTTCCACCGAGTTTTAGATTTACCAGTCATGGGCTCTAGACAACTGATGTGAACTGTCTGCCATCCTGGTGACAATGAAACAAAGCCAGGTTTTGCTTCTGGCTCTCTCTGCTTGTCCTCCTTATCCAAAAGCCCAGGTCATACTGGATCTCTGCTCTATCTACAGCTGGGGATAGCAGTGTGGTATTAGACTGCAGTGTGTACTTGGGTTGGGGTTTGGATTAAAATACTATTTAATGAAGACAATGACTCTTAGATAATAAGTGGCCAAATTTGGTTCTGGGGTTTTCTTTTGTTTTTTTCCAAAGTAGTTGATGCTATAGTATGCTTATGTCCCCTGTAGACACCCTGGAGGTTTGGGAAAGCAGAACACCGGAGTTTGGAATTGTTGTGTTAGTTAACAAAGGAACTATTCCAGTTCCAGAAGCAGCTTTGTAGGAGGCCTGAGAGCAAGACTGATGACGTGAAATAGCAGAGAGATGTCCCTTCTCTCTGTTTTCTAATTTTCTGGGCAGTGATGGGAGGTGGACTTTACAGTCTCTGAAGAGTTTACGAAATTTAAGAAGAAAGAGAGGATGTCTGTGTTAGGGGGACTTAAATTTTTCTTTGTGAATAGAGATGACTTGATATGTGAGAAGATCCATAGTGATAAATTCATAGATTTTAGGAATTTTGGTACTGCTGGCAAGGCAATGATTGTGGCAGGCTACAGAAGAACGCAATTTCTAATGTTAACTGATAGAGTTAATGGGAAGTAGAAAATAATGATTGAGTTTACATGGTACAATGTCTACCTTAAGACAATACTTAAAAAGTTTTTATTTAGTGAACAAATGAAAAAAATGAGATAAAGGAGGTCAGTAATTCTCAACCAGTGATAGGAGTCAAATCAGAATTGCCACTTTCCCTTTCACCTACTCTCTGTTCACCTTAGAGATTCTGATTTACCCGTTTTAAAGTGTTGTGACCTCCATCTCCCATGCTCATTGTCAATGCTGAAAATTATTGCAAAGGAGTGATGTTCTTCTCAGGTGTATAGGACAGATAAAATATTGGGAATCACTTACTTGCATGCAAAAGCACCCACAGCATGGTGGCTGACAAGAAATGCCAATTACATTTAAATCAGAAGGCTGAAGAGGAACATGCAAATAGTGCTATGTATATGGTTAAACAAAATCTTTCCAACCTCTTCTTTGTTTTGATTTTCATCAGATGCCCATCTTTTCCTCCCCAATTGCTTATAAAGGAAAATTTCTCACAAGTATTTTAATCGGGGAAGATTTGTAAATGCTCCCGGCTCAATGTGTATCAGATTTTTGGTGTTCTGGATCAGTCTGTAAAGAGAGAGGGAAAAAAGGGCAGCTGTTTAATAGATGTGAATTATTTGGAATGTGTGAGATCATGGTCACCAGAAGTTGCTGGCTGAAAATGGCATCAGCCAAAGGACCTTTATATAATTGGGAGGACCTCCAGCGACTCTGGTGTTGGAAATGGCTTGGTGAGAGCCGGTTCGCTATTTCCAGGAAGCACTGCTCTGAAGCTTCTGAAGAGGCAGGTATAAGGATCAGAGCAGGGAGTCTGTCTCTGCACCCTCCTGTCCCTCTCCCCAACCTCAGATAGCACCAAAATCCAGGGCTCCTGGCCAAGTAGATTCTGTCCCACTGTGGACCGCGCACGCTGAGGGTGATGAGAGATTCCTCTCTCAGGAAAGATGAGCAAATTACCTACTCTCCCTTGTAAGCAAACTGGTCCTCTTCATATTGGCTGGCAACTACATGAGCAGTTATGTAGAGGGGTACCAGTCTGTGGAATGGCACAGGGCAAAGGCCAGGGGCTTCTATTTGGGGGGATTTTATGCTCATTCTGTAGATAATTTGCTATGTGATGATGCCCAGCCTCCTAACTTCCTTGAGCTACCGTCTCTTTTGTCAAAATGGGATAATAATATCACATAGTTTTCCTCCCTCACAGGTTAGTAGGTTTTGAGTAATAGAGTAGGTAGAGGCAGGGCTTTGCAAAGCATAAAAATGCAGTCACATACCACTGTGTTGTTATTCCTCCCCTCCAACTCCCTCATTCCCCTCATGACTGTGACCCTATAAAAAGTAGTCAATAAAAGGCCAGTAAATGCCTTTGGCTTTCTTAATCCAGGTGTCAGCCACCTGAGGAAATAATAATTCCTCTGCTCTGTAGCGAAAGTGTAATGTACAGGTCTGGGGTCAGTTGGGTTTTCATTCTGATTTTACTAAGCATATGACCTTGGATGTGTCACTTCAAGTTCTGTGTCTTGGTTTCCTCATAGTGTTGTTTTTGGTGAATAAATATATGTCTGGTTCACAGTAAGGCCTCAACCAGTGTTAAAAATAGTTATAATAGTTGCTGAAATTAGGAAGCTGAATGATTTGTCTTTGGTCACACAGCTGAGAAGTAGCAGAAATTGGGTGAGACTAGTTTTCCTGACTCTAAGTTTAGTGCTTGTTCCGCCACACTAAAGTTGCCCACTGCTTGTACCTGTTTCCATCTTCTCAGTCCTTTTGATTCTTAGATGTGAGTGATTTTTTGTTGTAATTATTTCTACAACAACTGAGTCAAGCAATCATAGGCCATATAGGGCCTTATGTGGGTGGGATGGAAGGGACTTTTATCTCTAAACATCTTTTGGGCTGGGTGTGGTGGCATACATCTGCAGTACCAGCTATGTGGAAAGGAGGTGAGAGGATCACTTGAGCCCAGGAATTTGAGGCCAGCCTGGGCAACATTGTGAGACCTTGTATCTTAAAAAAAAAAAAGAAAGAAAAAATTAAAAGAAATTTAATAAAAGACTTTTAAGGCCTGACCCTAGCCCAGGCATTCATTCATTTAACAAACATTTATTGGGCACCACATGTGGCAAGCATTGTTTTACATGCTGGAAATACAGCTGTGAACAAAGCAAAAAGAGCCTTCATGGAGCTAGCATGCTAGTTTTAGGACCTTCTTTGGGAATCCGTAAACTTTTTGTGAGAGTGCTTCATGTTTCTTTCTGTTGATAAATGTTGCTTTGCATCACAAGGTTTATTTATCATTAGCTGTCCTGGTGGTTCTCAATGTAAGTTGTGTTTTAGCATTACCTGGGAAGTCTGTTAAAACTGCAGCTTTCCAGGTCTGGGACAGGACTGTCATCTACAATTGTAATGAGCCTCATGTGTGATTCTGCCTCTCAGCTAAGTCCAGACTATGTTTTTGCACTTACTCATTATTTTGGATTTCTCCGTAATTGGTGAGTAGTCTCAGTTCCCTGGCTACACTGTTATCTCATGGCAGACATTTATATTTTACCTCCTCTGTATTTTAGCAGCATTTGGCCCTGTATTGGACACATGGTAGTTGCTCATGTACTTACCAATTAATTATTCTCTTTAGGTAATTATTCATTGGATCATTTATAGGGGGGTATTTGTGGTATAGTGGAAAATGCAGGAGCTTTGAAGAAAGACAGCCTGGTATTGGATCCCAGTCCTGCCATGGTCTAAAACAATCTTTGTCCAACCCACAGCCTGTGTGCTACATGTGGCCCAGGATGGCCTTGAACGTGACCCAACACAAGTTTGTAAACTTTCTTAAAACATTATGAGGGTATTTTTTTTTTTTTTGCTCATCAGCTATTGTTAGTGTAAGTGTATTTTATGTGTGGCCCAAGACAAAAGACTGGATACCCCTGGTTTACAGTGTCACACTGGTCAAGTTTCTGTGCCTTTCCAAGCCTCCATTACTTCCCCTGAACGAAAGGGATAATTACCTCCACTCTGCATGGTAGCTGTGAGAATTAAATGACACAACATAGAAGAAATGCTAAGCACAAGAGCTCAAAAAATGTTTGATGCTTTTCCCCTTCCCTTACTTTTGAAACTCCAGAGTAGGTGAAGTTTGAGTGCTCTTCTGGAAGCTCAGGTTTGGACCACACAAAGCAGCAGTAGGAGGCCTGGTTTGGACGTCACACGATTTGATTTCTAATTCCATCTCTGGCACTAACTTGCGTGTAATGTCAGGCAAGTTAGTTAACCTCTTTGGGCCACAGATTTATCACTTGAAAAAACTGCATTGAGCCAGTCTTTTACTATCCTTTTTTGTGATTTGGGGGAAAAATGAGACTTTGGCAAGGCTTGTTCCAAAACATCACAACAACAACAACAAAACCCAACGATCCCAACACACACATGCCTGTTACACAGCTTTTCCATTGCAGGTATTCAAGAAACATTTACTGAATGAGGGAATGTACCCAGACAGCCCCCAATGAACCAATCTCTAAGCTCTTTTCCAAAGTTTTCCACTATCCCAAATACTCCATACCCTCCACTCCACAGGCAAGAGCTACTTGGCAGGACTTCACAATGTCAATTTTGATTTCTATCTTTGTGTTGTGATGTTTCAGAGTTTATACAGCTCCCAGGGAGAAGCAGTTGTCACCATAGCAACCTACAGGTCACTGCAGTGAGAAAAATTAGTGCCTGCCCAGACCTAGTAATTGCTGTAGTCTTTTCCTCTTGGATTCTAAGCAGTGGATGCTTGAATACAAATACCACGGGGCTCCAGCCAGAGAGGGTAATAGTGTACAGCAGTAAACTGTCTATTAGCTGATGCTTACATTTCAGACAAATTGAGGAGGTTGTCAAAGGCATTAGCTTCTATCCTTTCCAGGGAATCACTCTGAGAGATTTCACTAGGGAAAAGAGGGAGGGAGAAAAGAGAAAGAAACATGAAAGAAATGACTGTGTCTGCATGATCATGAGCTGTGTGTGTGACCCAACAACTGGGGACTCCACTGTGTCCCCCTGAGAAAAACAGGGGTGTACAAATTGTCCTCACATCATACAGTGCTAACATCTCCCTTCAGGAGCACTGATGGGCAACTACAACCCAGGTGTAGTTGAAATGCAAGTTTTAGTAACCCCTGTTTATGTGACAGATTTTTCTCTTATTTATTTCTGACTCAGAGCCACAGATTGTTAGAACTGCATGGGCCCTTTGAGAAAATCTAGTCAGATTCCCTCGTTTTACAGCTCTAGAAATTAAGGCCCTGAGAGGAGAGGCAAATAGTATATTAAGGTTCAAGACTAGGATGTGGATCTCTGGGTCTTAACTCTGTCACTCTAGTGAAGCTTTAATATGGGTTGAATTGTTTCAAACTCTTAATCCTTGGTTTCTCAAAATCTTGTGCTGAGGCTATTACAAGGTAGTCAACTCCTGCACATGATATCCATCATGAATGATAATTATCTACTTCCTTGACTGTTTTTCTCACCTGTGAGCAAATTGAGGACAGGGAGTATATTCTATTCACTTCTGAATCCCTGGTGGCTTCATATTGCTTGACACAGAGTTAAAAGTACAAATGAATGTATGAATAAGTGAATGGAGTAATGAATAATTGATGTTTTTGAAAAAGACACAAAAATAAAGGAACCAGCTTTGTTATATACGATTTGCAAGCTTGTAGGTAATGTCAATGTTTCCGTCAAATCCCAACATAAGCTACCATTTCCTGCCAGTTGAGAAAAATGTCTCAAACTCACAAAGTGTACATTTGCTTATTTCTAAGGTTAAGACTCACTGAAGACTTCAGACTTGATGAGAGCATTAGCCCACAGAAAGGCAGAGCCTAAGATAGCTAACATCCTTTTTGAACAACGCAGGAATGGACTGCTCTTGGGCTGGTTCATCTTATTCCTGCCCAATGGTTTGCTTATTTAACTGTAGCTGCTTTTCTCAGTAGGAGGTCTTAATGTATTAAAAGTTATCAAAACTCAACATTCCAACCTGAGAGCAGAAGAGCATGGGTTAGGCTCAAGTAAACGGACATGTCTGTAACCTGCAGTGAATTTCCTATGATATGCACTAATTCTTGAAGAATTATTTTTATTTTAAATATTCGAATTGCTTACCAATACCCTAAAGGGGAATAGAGGTTCCATAAGGAGCTAGGATTGATAGTGTAACATCTTCTTTAGAGATGCAAATCTGCTTCCAAAGTCCAGTGGATTAAGATTAGAGATGCACTATAAGAACTCAATGGCCATGAGGTCCTTTGACTCAGGCTAATATTAAGAAAGATGCTGGAATACTGGGCTCTTGAGAACATTCTCTCCTCAAGCATGGGAACTTTGGTCCTAAAAGCTGAAACCCAGGGGCGAATGATCAAAGTTACATCTGATAAACATAAGATCATACGGCATTATCGGGGTGCTTTACACTTTTGATAAGTGCCTTTCATCAATATAGTTATAAATCTTGTGTTTTGTTATATACTTATATTTTAGATATAAAGGTTATCTTCTGACGCACAATAAACTTCTAACACATTTTTTTCTATGTGGGTGTTATCTAAAAATGTGACCCAAGAGAAGACCTGCTGTAGCAGAAGGAGATTTTTTATGATTGGGATCCATCTTTTCTTCTATTTAAAAGGTATATTATCACTTATAAAATACATTCAGTTCTTTGAAACAAGGTTAATTATCTGGATTTTAATGACTTAAAAATCATACCTTTTCTTCAAAAATCTCTAGTTATTATTTATATTACAAAGAAAAAAAATTCAAGTATCTTAAACACAATTTCTCTCCTAGAAAAATTATCTCCTTTAAACTGTGTTTTCTCTTAGAAAAAAATTCATTATTTCAATTATAAATGTCTTTTGATATGCAGTAACTTACTTACATTTTTATAACCTCATTAAGTCCTCTGAAAGCTTGAGATGGAATCACTTTGACAGGGAGGTAGGCGAGTGATCTAGAAAAGAAAAAAGGAAATCCAAGAGTTTAAGATTTATGATTCGGTGCCTTTAAAGTTCATGAATTAAGTGTGTATATGTATGTGTGTGAGAGAGACAAAGAGACTTCAGCATTTCCAACAACTGGATTCAGGCTGAGGATTCTAACATATCAATGAAGAGATGTGCCATGACTTATTCTTGGTCTTTATCAAAGAGTATATAGTTTTGTGGTTAAGATTGTGAATGTTGAGATCGGACACACCTGGGATCAGATCTTCGCTCTCCCACTACTTGGCTATGTGATTCTAAGCATGTTATTTATGCCCTCCAGTTCAGTTTCTTTGCCTGTAAAATTGTGATAATAATTCCTGCTTCACACGGTTGTTGTGATGATTAATCAGGATTATCCATGTAAAGAACAAGGCTCAGCACCAAGTATATAGTTAAATAGTTCTAGAGTGGTCCTATAGACTTGGTTGGGAAGATGGACAAAAACTATGTTGAGTAGAGTGGAGAAATGAATGATGAAAATACAACTGGAAATTATTCAGGCAGGAGAACAGAAGATTAATTAAGAACGTGCCCCTGTCTTGATCTCTACTATCTTTCTCAGGTAGCCTATTTCAATATTATCCCAAACAGACAACTTTAATCCTATGGTTAACTCACATGGGCATCCCATGTCACTTGGGGGGAATGTTTATGAGATCATTTCCTTCAGGAATTCACATATACCCACAGGAACAATCTAAGTATTCCTGAAATTGAAATGAAAGCTATGCCGTACTTAAGATTTGAGAAAAGAGTGACACTCAGAAATCTAAAACCAGCATAGGATGATGTGTGAATGCTAAAGGAACTGGAGGTTAAGATAACTCAGGAGAAAGCAACCGTAAGGCAGGGGTGAACACGCGGCCAACATTTATTGAGCATCTACAACAGTTTAATGTTTTGGTCCAAGGACTGGCAGAGAAGAAGGGAGTGGACAAGGATATTTCAGATGGGAAGCGTGTATCAGGAATATGAGAACAAAGGTGAGAGATGCTGTCTTGTTTTTTAATATGTCTATGCAGCGAAGACTGTTTTAAGCTGCTAGGGAAGAACACTTCCATGATGGGCAGATGAAAATAAGATTTCTTACAGTCCCAGAAGGGACTTGCTACAGGTGTAAGCTGCTGTGTGAGTTATACACCATTTGTGACCTTATTTTACCCACTCAACAATGGTATAAGGTGGGTATTTCCCTTAGATAGCAGAAGAAATTGGGTCACAAAGAGATTAAGTAAACTGAACAGGGTTACAACCAAGCAGAATGACTCCAGACACCAATTCCCTGTGCAATATTGGGCCAAAGCATATCATTCTTAACCCACTGTCTTGGTGAACAAGGTGGAGGAACAGGCATTGTAACCTTGCTTCTTCTGAGAGGAAGCATGTCACATTCTCTCTATTCCTTTCACAAAGCAGTTTACCGGCCATTCCTTCCTAGGTGCTAATGCAGAGGAATTTCAGAAATTTCATTTCAGAAAAATATTTTCACTCAACAATCTCTTAGAAATGATACAACCTAGAGAAAATAATCCAACTTTGGTCTCTGATTCTGTTCCTGAAGTCATTCCCACCAAGCACATTGTTCAACACCCAAACTTATTTAACAAAGGATTTGAGAAGAACAGGGACAGTGTGGGGATAGGTCTTCTTGTGAAGGCATATTTCCTTTCTATATTTCTTCTGGAATCATGTTCGCTTGGTTTCCTGATTAAAAACACAGTTTTATTGCTCTCTGCACTGCCAAACCAATAAATTTCCAGAAGAGAAAGCTGTATTCCGCTGTACCCCATGCAGCATCAATAAAACTGACAGCCAAATTCTGATTCCAGAATCTTTATTGCTGGGGATAATGCAGTGCAGAACATATTTTGGAGAGTGTTTACATAAAAGCTTCAACGGAACCCTTCAGAGCTGTTTATTCATGCAAATGGAGCCCAAAAGCTGGAGTCTCTAAGCAGGCAGCCTCCTCCTCCAATTGGGAGCATGGTGTGACTCCCAGAGGAGCAGTTTGGTTCAGATTTGACCAGGGAGGTTGCCTGAGTTTTTGATTGATGGAGGGAGGAGGGATGAGGAGCAAAGGGTGGACAGAAGTACGAGAAACTGTAGATCATGCAATGGCAGTCTCCAGTGGCTACAGCAGCAGCCCTGGTGCAAACTGAAGTTTTGCAGCGTTGATGTTGACGCTGCAGAGCAGGAAAGGCAGCAATGGGGAGAGTAAAAACAGAGCCTCCCCTATAAAAGAGACACTAAAAGAACAGCAGGTGACTTTGTGGATGTGACTGGGTCAAGAGAGAGGCTTGGGGGCCAGGGACTGGGGAGAGAGGTGGGGTTAGGCAGGTGCACTGTGCTTGTCACAACAGAGTGTTCTCATGAAGTAACACAGAGAATGCAGTTCTGTGAATCCAAAGCCATTTTCCCTACTGACTTACGTTTTTATTTCAGAAATGTTACATCTTCATTTCTGATTTGTCTTTGGTTGGTCTCTGTTCCTAAGCATTCAAGTGTCTGTCTCCTGAATTTATTAATACATTTTATGATTTGCTAATAACTATTTGAATGTACCTCCTTTGAAGGTGCCCCACTCTCTAACGGATGCATCTATAATTCTTTCCATGATGCCAGAAACTTAGCAATGTGAACAATGATCTTAATAACCTTGCAATTCTACTTCTGTGTACACTGAGGGAAATTATCAAACTGATTCTCAAACTGGCACAAGGAATCTTTTACAAACGTTTTCTTCACAGCATTGGGGCATTAGGGGATTGGAGGCAACCCGGGTGTCCATTACTAGGTGAGGGAGTAGGCAAAATTTGAACAGTGCCTACCTAATTGAATAGGAGAGCATGTAGAAGTGAGAGTCTAAAGGCACACAGAGTAGCACGGGTGGATCTTCAAATCATGAAACTGAGAGAAAGAAGTGAGAAATTACTGAGCTATAATATACTATTTTCAGAATTAAAATACATGTACATAAAACACTAGACGTTAACCTCTTCCTGCACATGAACGTACACTAGGATTGTTATCTAAGGAATTGAGAGGAACAGAAGTGGGAGAAGGAGAGCAAATAAATAACTAAAAACAGAGAGGTACTTTGAATAGACTAGTGATAATGTTACTTAAATGAAGAAATATGACCAGCTTAAGCCTCTGTACCAGAGAGACAAATGGAAAATAAAAAAGTTTTATTTTGATGTATTGACTACCCGCTTGCTTACCTTTCTTCCTTCTCCTTCCTCTCTCCCTCCTTCTCTCCTTCCTTTCCTTTCCTTTTTTTTTTTTTTTTGAAGTTAGGCATACTTGTATTCCAATAATTTTGTGAACTACTGTGGGAAGGTCTAGTTGATATCATTTGATATAGAGCAGAAGCCAAGGAGAACTGAGGGCAAAAATGCCTAAGGCAAGGACGTTCAGCAGCTCTGCTGCCCAGGGTCAAAAAAGGAATGAAAGCTATGCATATAGCAAAGAAAATAAAGGAAGGACAGAGCCCTTTCGGTCTCAGCAAAAGAGGGTGACACACCACAACTATGCACCTCAGATGGGTGGTAAAGAATTAGGATTACTGGGCAAATATGAGGTTAAACTTGCAGGGTGGAGAGTTCTCTCTTGAAAGGTGACAGCTGTGAAAAATATAGTTGTAGAACTATGCAGCTACCTAAATTTATTATATTTTCACAGTCCTGTTTACAGTTTTGAAGTTTTGTTTTTAAATAAATTGACGATGCAGTGCAGGTGGCACCTTGCCCAAGTAAGTGCCTTTGCCACAGATACTGAAACAAATGCTTCAACTGGACTACAAAAACTGCATTAGCTTCCTCAGCTCTGGAACCTCCATCTATTCATTAATCCCATCTGCAGGTCCCCACCCCTTTTAGTTGTGGGTTAAAGTTGAAAAAGAAGCAGTCTGTACTCCTTAGGGCTGGAGTTAAGTCATTCACCCTAGTGTTGGGATCTTGGGATTGGTCATAACTCTGGTGAGGCTTGTGCATTGTCTAAACTGGACCCAATAATATTAATATTTGGAGGGCAGGAGTACACCTGAAGTGCCTACCCACATGCTATGCTGGTGTTTGTTTTTGTCTTAATTTCTTATCTTGTAGCTTGCTTGGTCTCCCCAGAGTCCATCTAGGAGTAGGGCTCCTTGTAGTTCCTGCCTTCTATTCTTCTGAGTCACCAGATCCTGGTCCCTCTATCTCTACCCCTTAGGTGACAGTGCTGCCCTAGAACACTTCCTGGTTGCTGTCTGGTTAGGATCAAGCTAGTATCTCTTACTGCTTGGTTCTGACTTTCAAACTGGGGCCTTTGGCACAGATGATGACCCTATTTTGATACTACTCAGTGGAGTTGGGCTAGTTTCTGTAGTGGATTCGGTGGTGGGCTACCCAAATCACTCTTCAGTACTGAGGCACCAATTTCACCAACTGCTAGGAGAGAGGGGGTGGCTGAAGCTCTCAGCTCAGTTGCTCTCCTAGAATTATGCTTGCAGACTGATGTGGTTTGGGTCTGTGTCTGCCCAAATCTCATGTCAAATTGTAATTCCCAACGTTGGAGGTGGGGCCTGATGGGAGGTGATTGGATCATGGTGTCAGATTTCCCCTTTGCTGCTCTTATGGTAGTGAGTGAGTTATTGTGAGATCTGGTTGTTTAAAAGTGTGTAGCACCTCTCCTCTCTCTCTCCCTCCTGCTCTGGCCACTGAAAATGTGCTTGCTTCCCCTTTGCCTTCTGCCATGATTTTAAGTTTCCTGAGGCCTCCCAGCCATGCTTCCTGTACAGCCTGAAGAACTGTGAGCCAATTAAACCTCTTTTCTTTATAGATTACCCAGTCTTGGGTATTTCTTTATAGCAGTGTGAGAATGGACCAGTACACAGAACAAGATTGCTACCTTGCTCAAGATTATGACTTCTCTTTTGGGTAGCCCTCATCCAATGACTGGACAATGTATAAAGGCCCAGCCCCATGCC